GTGGCCCGCCTCGCAGGTCCCGCAGAGCACGCCCTTGTGGCCGCGCGCGCACGAGCTGTTCGCGCCGCCCTTGCAGGCGCCGAGCTGGTGGCAGCGGTAGACGGCGTCGGCCGCCGCGGAGGCGCGCCAGAAGTTCTTCTTCAGGTCCAGCGTCTCGAGCGTCGCGCCGGGCGCGGCGCAGTCCGCGCAGTCGGTCTCGTCCGCGCCGACGCACGCGTCGCCGCACCGGCCGCAGCACGCCGCGCACTGCGTCCGCGTCGCCGCCAGGGCCGCGGCGCCGTGGTCGCGGAAGTAGCGGCCGTCCCAGTAGTAGCCCTCGCGGCACGCGTCGCAGTACGCGCGGCCGGGGACGAGCGTCGTCGTCGGCGCGGGGCACCGGAGGCAGTTCGGCGACCCCGTCTCGTTGACGAAGGACCCCTCGGGGCAGGGCGCGCAGGCCGTCGCCGCGGAGCCGCTGTAGGTGCCCGCGGCGCAGGGCGTCGCGGCCGCCGCGCCCGCCGCGGCGACGTACGAGCCGGGCGCCGCGAGCTTGCAGCTCGTCATCGCGGCCGCGTCCGCGTACGTGCCCGGCGCGCAGGGCACGCACGCGACGGCGCCGGACGTCGAGTAGGTCCCCGCGGGGCACTCGACGACGAGCGCGCCCGCGGCGCGCGTCGGCTCGGACGCGAGCGACGCCGTCGCGGCGTCCGCGGCCGCCGCGGTCCGCTCCGCGTCGATCGCGACGTCGCCGAGCGCGTCCTGGAGCCGCCCCGTCGTCGCGGCGCTCCGTAGTGCAATAATGAAGCTGTTGCGCGCGCGGCGCAGGGCCGCGTCGGAGGACTCGCCGGGCACGAGCGACGCGACCGTCGTCGCCGCGAAGGCCACGTCCGCGCCGTCGCCGAGGCGCCGCCGGCCCGCGGCCGCGACGTCGGCCGCGACGACGCTGAACGTGTCGCCGAGGCTCGCGTCGAGCGCCGCCGCGAACGCCGCCCGTGTGCTATCGTCAAGCACACCATCCACAAGCACCACCGCGCCCTCGACGCGGACGTCGACCGTCGACAGCGCCGCGGTCTGCGAGCCGGCGTCGACGGGCGCGCACGTCGACGCGCCCGCGTCGCTCGTCGACCCCTCGGCGCAGAGCTCGCAGTAGAGCGCGCCCGCGCCGCTGTAGCGGCCCGCGGGGCAGCGGCCCGCCGCCGTCGCGCCGGGCGACGCCGCGAACGTGCCCGGCAGCGCGATGGCGCACGACGCCGTCGCGGCGCCCTCCGCGTGGCGGCCCGGCGCGCAGGGCTCGCACGCGGCCGCGTTCGCGCCCGAGAACGACCCCGGCGGGCAGGCCTCCTGCGCCGCCGCGCCGGCGTCGGCGACGAAGTGGCCCGCCTCGGCGAGCGCGCACCGCGTCGCGCCCGCGTCCGCCGCGAAGGCGCCGGGCTCGCAGGGCTCGCAGCGCGCGGCCGCCGCGCCGCTCCGCGCGCCCGGCGGGCACTTGACCTGCTTCGAGGCGCCCGGCTTCGCGACGACGTAGCCCGCGTCGGCGAGCGCGCACGCCGCGGCGCCGGCCTTCGACGCGTAGGACCCAGGCGCGCAGTCGGCGCAGGCCGTCGCCGCGGAGCCCGAGAACCTGCCCGCGGCGCACGCGTCCTCCCGCGTCGCGCCCCGCTTCGAGACGAAGGACCCGGCGCTCGCGAGCGCGCAGGCCGTCGACGCCTCGTCGCCGGCGAAGCGGCCCGGCGCGCACTCCTCGCAGGCGACGTCGCCGCCGCCCGAGAAGGCGCCCTGGGGGCACGGCGCCTGCGCGTCGGCGCCGGCGTCGGCGACGAAGTAGCCCGCGTCCGAGAGCGCGCACGTCGACTCGCCGCCGCGCGCCGCGTAGCGGCCGGCCTCGCAGGGCGTGCAGCTCGCCGCGCCCGAGCCCGAGTACGCGCCCGGCGGGCACGTCGCCTGGGCCGACGCGCCCGCGTCCGCGACGAAGAACCCCGCGTCGGCGACGGCGCAGCTCGCCGCGCCGCTCTCCGCCGCGTAGGACCGCGGCGGGCAGGCGTCGCACGCGCCGCGGCCCGCGCCCGAATACGTGCCCGGCGCGCAGGCCGCGCAGGCCGCGCTCCCCGCGGGCGCGTAGAAGCCCGCGTCGCAGGCCGTGCACGCGTCCTCGCCCGCGGCCGAGTACGTCCCCGGCGCGCACGGCGTCTCCGCGGACGCGCCCGTCGATGAAACGAAGGATCCCGCGGACGCGAAGGAGCAGGCCGCGGCGCCCGCGTCGCTGTAGCGGCCCGCGTCGCAGGCCGTGCACGTCGCCGCGTTTTCCTCGCTGTACGTGCCCGGCGGGCACGCGTCGCACGTGGCCGCGTAGTAGACGCCCGCGCTCGCGGCGTTCTCGACGGTGCCCGCCGGGCACGCGCCCTGATCGCAGCTCGTCCCGTAAAAGGGCGCGGCGCATTCGCAGGCGCCCGAGCCCGTCGCCGTGTCGTCGCAGGTGCCGCGGCTCCGGCCGGAGCCCTTGACGCCGCACGTGTCCGTGATGCGCGGCTTCGCCCGGTCCTCGTCGCCGCCCTCCGGGCAGATGTCGCACGCCGGGCCGAAGTAGCCCGGCTGGCAGGCCTCGCACTGGCTCCCGACGAAGCCGACGACGCACTCGCACTTGGCCTGGGAGAAGACGGCCGCGCTCGTCGCGCAGAGGCCCGCCTTGCGGCAGGGCCCGGGCGCGTTGCAGTAGCCCGCGACGAGCAGGCTCAACGCGCCGTCGTAGACGCCGAAGACGACGTCCGCGTCGCCGTCGCCGTCGAGGTCGCCGACCGCCGGCGCCGGGCGAGGCGCGCCGCCCTTCGCCCGGATCTCCAGGGCCGCGAAGGGGCTCGCGGCCGCCTCGCCGAGGAATTCCGGCGCGGAAACGTCGCCCGTGTTCTCGAAGTAGAGCAGTTTGTCCGCCAGGTTCCGGTCGCCGAAGGACTCGCCGAGGATCACGTCGAGATCGCCGTCGCCGTCCACGTCCGCGAGCGCCGGCGTCGCCATGGCCGTGGACCAGACGGACCAGAACGTGTCCTCGTCCTCGGCGAAGGCCGCGTTCGTCGCGTCGCCGACGTTGACGTAATAGTAGACCCAGCCGTCCTCGTCGCCGACGACCAGGTCCAGGTCGCCGTCGCCGTCGACGTCGCCGAGCGCCGGCGCCGCGCGGCGGCCGTGCGACGCCGGAGTCGCGAGCAGGACGGGCTCCGCGAGGAGGCCGCCGTCGTTGCGCAAATACGTCAGCTCGCCCGTGAGCTCGCCGACCACGAGATCCAAGTCGCCGTCGCCGTCCAGATCGCCGAGCGCGGGCTTCAGCTCGTTGCCGAAGAACGCGAGGTCCGCGAACGTGCTGTTAGGTCGCGCCTCGTACTCCCGCGCGGCACGTTCGAGGACCTCGAACGCCGGCGCGGCCGCGGCGCCCACGTTCTCGACGTAGACGAGGGCTTCGAATGCTCCGACGACCATGTCCAAGTCGCCGTCGCCGTCCCAGTCGCCGAGCGCCGGCGCGGCCCAATTCTCATTGGGGCCCAATACTTCGAGCGCGAGCACGGGGTCGGCGACGCTCTCGACGGCCGCGAACGGCACGGGGTCGGCGAAGGTGCGGCTCAGGAAGGCCTTCAGCACGCCGGAGCCCACGCCCGCGACGACGTCGACGTAGGCGTCGCCGTCGAGGTCGCCAACGGTGACCGACGCGAAGACGTTGTCGCCCGCGGCCGCGGCGGCCGCGTCCGCCTGCCACGTCAGCGCGGGCGCGAAGACGGGCGCGGCCGCCGAGCCGACGTTGATCAGGAGCTGGACGTCGCCGGCCCGGTCGCCGACGACGAGGTCCAGGTCGCCGTCGCCGTCCGCGTCCGCGAGCGCGGGCACGCCGTACCGGGAGGAAACGTAGACCTCGGCGAAGGGGTCGTCGACCGCGGGCGCGAAGGCCGGCGTCCGGGCGTCGCCGACGTTGACGTAGTATTTGAGGCTCGTCGACGAGTCGCCGCAGAGGAGGTCGAGGTCGAGGTCGCCGTCGAGGTCGCCGAACGTCGCGTGGCTATAAACATCGACGGTGACGTTCGCGACCGCGTGGCCCTCGCGCTCGACGAAGTTTCCGCCCGCGTTCTCGTGGTAGGCGAAGGTGCCGGCGAAGTTGCCGACGACGAGGTCCGCGTCCGCGTCGCCGTCGAGGTCCGCGAACGCCGGCGCGGACACGGTCGAGGCTTCGAAGACGAGCACGAAGGGGTCGTCCTCCGCGGCCGCGGCCTCGAAGAACGGCGCCGTCGGCGTGCCAATGTTGCGGAAGTAGGTCACGAAGCCTGTGTAGTCGCCGGCGACCATGTCGAGGTCGCCGTCGCCGTCGACGTCCGCGAGCGCGGGCGACGCGTAGAATTGAGCGGTGGCCTCCGCGAAGATGCCGGCGCCGCCGAGCGTCCGGTAGTTGCCCCAGCACCCGTCGAAGGCCGCGAGGGCGCAGAACGACTCCGCGGGGGCGTCGTCGCCGGCGGCGAGGGCCCCGAGGGCGGCGAGGGCGGCGAGGCGCATGTCTGGAACGTTTTTATCGGCGAGCGCGTGAAACGTCGGGGGCGCGAGCTCTTGAAATGCCCGGGGGGGCTGTCGCGGTGGGCCCGGTCGTGCGGTGCGGGCGCGTCGGGGCGTGGGCGCGCGGGGCGAAACTGTTGTGCCACGCCTGGCCCTTTGATTTGCTCGACCTCGAGATGTGCTCGAGGCCTCGCAAACTGGCGGGGCGCGCGCGCCCTGGGAGGCTCGACGCCTCCGGCGAGCCTGCCCGCGGCGCCTCGACGAATCTAAACATCCAAAATCAGATCAGTGGGGACACGGCCGGACACATAGGCCCCAGCGCGCACGGACCGCCGAGTAGCGGCCCGCGCCACGGGGGAAAGAGGCGTCATTAGGACCATAAACGGCGTGGGCAAAGGCGGGTCCGTGCGATAAACCACGTGGAACGTGCTGCGGTCGGCGAGGCGTCCGCGCGTCGACCGCGGCGTCGCGCGGCGCGCGCGTTTCGGCGCCGATTCTCAGGCAGATGAGCCCGCCGCGGCCCGGTCGACGTACTTGTCCAAGTTCTCGTTGTGGATGGCCGCTTCGGACGCCTTGGCGAGCTGGAACTGGGCCGGGGCCCCACGCGCCCTGCCCTTCCGAGGGGCGGGCTCGAGCACGAGCGCGGCGCCGTCGCCGACCGCGATGACCATCTCGAGGAGCTGCTCGTCCTGGGACCCGTAGTCCTCGTAGTAGCCGCACGGCTTCAGGTCGAACCAGCGCACGGTCAAGCAGAACTCGCCCTTCTTGATGTTCCAGCCGTCGCGCCCCGAGCCGTTGACCCGACGTTGGTTGTCCGCGCGCGCCGGTGGCACGACGACCTTGGCGAGGTAGAAGTCGACGCCCTGGGCGTCACGTTCGCTCTGAGAGATGCCCAAGGCGACCACATCGCCCTTGCGGATCTTCGGAGCGAGGGCAGCGAGACGAGCGTCCTTCTCCGCCAGGCCCTGGGCGATGACGCGCGCGCTCGAGCGGTCATCGCCGGAGGGCGGCTTCAGGATGATGGTCGTGCGGGTCCAGCCGTCGCTCTGGCGCATCTCGGGGGCCGCGGTCCACGCCTTGTAGCGGCAGTTGTCGTAGTCCTTCACGCGGCACTTGGAGCACGAGCAGGGCTGGGCGCGGCGCCGCAGGTCGTCGACAGCGTGAGACGAACCAGACCGGTACTCTCGATCAGACTTGCAGCCTTCGACGGGCGAGGCGCTCCATTTGGCAGACTTGTCCGCGAAGAACACGTCGTCGTCGTCGACTCCGATGGGGTCGTCCTGGGTCCACGTGATGAACCGGTAGAAGTACTTGTCCAAGGAGAGCGTCGACCTACGCGATTTGGACGTCTTCGCGTCGATCTGCGCGGATTTGGACGCCGTCTGTCGCACTTCTTCGCCAGAATCGTAGGTGAGGCGTTCCAGTCCATGCTCGGCTTCGGCCGACCATCGCGGACCGCTGTGAAGAGGTCGTAGGGCTGGGGGACGCTGATGACGTCGCGCCGCGCGTTCGCATTGATCCAGCGGCGGTCCTCCTTGCCTATAGTGTCATGCACACCTTTGAAATCACTCGTAGCCGCCTATGGGGCCATCGTCTCGCAGGCTCGGGCCATCTTCGGGGGACGCGGGCACTGGCAAATCGATGCGTCAGCTCGATGCCCTTTTTCGACCAAAAGGCGGCGACCTTCACGAAGTTCTCTTTGCACATATATTGGCCGGGGCATCCGTCGGTCCAGAGAATGACCCGGGTCAAAGGCGGCTTGTTGTCTTTGACTCGTTTCGCCACGTAGAAATCCACCAGATGGGTCAGAGCGGCGTGATGGAAGAAGTAGTCGTTATCTTTGCCCTTGCCCGAGGCACCGGCGTAGAATTTCCACGCGTGGTTGTCTGTGATGCGTTTCTTGACGAAGGAAGAGGACCCGTCGGCATGCTTCACCGTCACGTCGACGAGTCGTGGATCCGATGCTACGACGAACACGTCGAGATTCGTATGGTTCCTGTGTGTGCAGCAGAGGTTGTCCTGGGCAGCGTTGGAGATCTGCGCAGCGAAATCGGTCTGAATGAATAGCTCGGTATCGGTGAACTTATGCATGTCGTTCAGCCGAGCCGTGTTGGCCCATCGGCAATTCCAGCAGTGCGTGAAATACTCTGTTGCCGCGGCTTCAATTTTCGTGAGGAGCTCACTGCCCGTGACCATGACCTCCGTGAGCTCCTTGACGGCCATGGTGGAGCTGATACTGTTGCCCTCGTCGTCTTCGCCTTTCACCGTCCGGGGCTGGAGCCGGTACTCGCGGAGCTTCACCTCGACGTCAGTGTCCTCGCAGGGGCAACGAAAAAAGCGCTGGTCGACGCCACATTCATCGCAATCACCGTAGGCGCACTCCTTCCTGTGCATCAACACACGCTCGTCATCGTCGGTCGTCAGCTCGAGATCTTCACAGCGTATTGCCGGGCAGAGCATGCAGCTTGAGAACATGCCCGCGGACAGATTCGATCGTTCGTGGATCTTGCTGAATTTGTAGGCGGCGGTCTGCTCTGCCTGGAGGTACGAGGCCTCGGGCGCCGCAGAACGTGCGTCGACGGCTGCACGCCGTGCACGGCAGACTGGGCCCTGGCACGTCGCTTGCCGTTCTTTGACCGAGAGGCGCAGGCGGTTCAGAGCGAGCAGTCGTTCCCTCATGCTGGTCTTGATCTCGTCGGCGCACTCGCGCTGGTGCGGCTCGCCGATGCACCTGTACACGTGCAAATCAACGACTGGTTTGGGACGTCCCGACCAAACTTTGAAATTCTCTAGCTCGGTCAAATCGAAGTCGATTCGGCTGATTTTTGGACGGATCGATTGCTCTCATCGAGTTCTCGAAGCGCAGCGGAGGTGCTGAAGTCGGGTTGAAGATTTGATTTCACACAGCGATGCACGGGCACTTGGCCCGCTTGAAGAGCGTGAAGGAGATCTTGTGGCTGGGATGGGCGGCGAGGTGAGAGGCGTAGCCCGCCGACTTCAGGAAGGCCTGGTAGATCTCCAAATCGCCCGCGTGCTTCGTGTGGCGCTGGTGGTGCTCCTCCTTCACGACGAGCGTCCTCCGCCCGTCGGAGTCGACCTGGACCGTGACGATCTTCACCTTCTTGGTGCACCTCCCCGCGAAAGTGTCGAGTCGCACGTCGTCGTTCTGGTGCCAATACTCACGAGCACAGGCGAGGTCGACGAGATCAGAGCGCAGAGCCCGCATGCGGTGGCGTGCGAGCTTGCCCGCGTCGTCTTGTAGCTTCCGTCGATCCGCCGCGTTCGAGAAGCGACCGATGACGCTGTGGCTCACGTTGTCGCCGCAGCAGACCCGCGAGATGCCCCGGAGCAAGTTCTTGGCAGCGCCATCCGCCGGCGTTACAGCCTCCATCACCGCGTCCACCTTCTGCTGGGCATACTTCCGACGCGTCCCGCCGTTCGGAAGGGCCGCGAGCGAGAAGTAGCCCTTGATCGCCCGGCCCATGGCGCGTAGGGCCTTGATCTCCTTCAAGTCCAGTCGCAGCAGCTTCCCTGCTCGCGCGACGACGGCCTGGAGGATCGCCGCGGTCCGGCTCTGGTCGCCTCCGCCGTGCACGAAGAGGGCCGCGAGCACAGGATTCACGTCACGGGCCTTCGCCTCTGTCGCCGGCCCCGCCGATGGCTCGTCGACACGAGCGGCTGTGACCCGGCGCCGCGGCCGGGGGGGCTCCGGATCGTCGCTGGAGTCGTCGTCGGATCCGCTACCGTCGGGTCCGCCGTTCGCGCGCGGCGTGCTCGTCGGCTCGAGGCGCGCCATGAGCGCCAAACCCTTCTTCGCCATGCCCTGCGTGCGGTTCGGGAGCGCCTCGACGGTCTTGGCCCACGCGGCCCCAGGCGTCGACAACTTCGCGCGGAGGCTCTGAATCTCCATGTCGGCCTCGCGGAGCAGCGCGTCCTTCGTCACGCACTTGGCGCAGCCCGCGCAGCCCTCGTCGCTGGAGTCGCTGGAGCCGACGCCCTCGTCGATGCGGTCGCTCGAAACGACGGGCCCGCGGGCTGCTGCTGGCTGCCGCGGCGTCGAGTCGTACTGGCGACGTAGAGCGGCAGCGAACGCCGTCCGGTCACGGGGAACAGGGGGTTGGTAGGTGTCGACAGGAGCATGATGCGGGCGTGTCGAGCGCCGTGGGGCCGGGGGCGCCGGCGGCAGAGGCGGCTCGGGTCCGTCGTCGGGCTCCGGCGCCGGCTCGGGCTCCGGCGCCGGTTCGGGCTCCGCCGCAGGGGCTTCTCGTGCGTCTCGCATCGACTGTGGCGTCGGGTGCTGCGCTGCAACACGCCCTCGCTTCGCCCCGGGTGAGCTCGGCGGGGAGCACGGCTGGCAGACGACCCCCGCCTCCTCGGGCGCCGCGTCCTCGTCCATCGCGCCGTCGCCGCCGACGACCCCGAGGCCCAGGTGTTCTCCGTGCTCATCGATGAGCCCCGCCCAGAGCCGCTCCAGCGCCGCCTCCTTCTCCTTCTCCACGTCGTCGCCGTCGGACAGCTTCCGGAGGTATTTCCGGACGGTCACCGTCTTCTCGCTGCACGGACATGTGAACCGCAGGTGCCAGTACTTGCGCGCGCCGTCCGTGAAGGTCGGCTCCAGCGTCTCGTCGAGGTCCACGGGCCGCGGCATGCACGACGACGAGCGCGTCCCCGCGAGGCAGGCCATCGCGCCGACGAGCATCGACATTTTCATGATCTTCGGGGCGTGGCGCTCCACCGCCGCGCCGACCCGCCGCACCAATGATGCGCGCTCGCGGCCGCTGATGCGCGCCATGGAGGCCGCGCGACAGAAGATGTGGCGCCCTTTGTGCATGCGCTGCGCGCGCCGCCCCAGCAGCCCAGAAGGACCTCCAGAGATGCTCTCCGCCGAGTGCATCGTGGCTGCTTTGTGCAGTTATCAACGAAACTTCGAGCCCTTGGTTCTCCTTGGTTCACGAGGGCTCAGCGCAGGCAGTACCCGAAACCCGGAGAGCTCGCGGCAGGAAGGCAGTCGGCGAAGGGCCGGTGGTGATTCGTGCGAACCTCCAAGATATCCGACACGCGCGCGCGAAACGCGCCCGACGGGCCGCGCGACCGCGGCGCGACGTGCGAGTTCGGCGGTACTTTAAGGCGCCGGCCGCGTTCTTATACTCACCGGGGGACCCCCGCGTACCAACCGCGCGACGGGCGGCGTCAGCGACGTGCCTTAAGGTCTAAGCGGCGGGGAGGGCCCTGGCTGAGCTGATTTTGGATGTAAAAAAACACCAAAGCGACCTTAGTACCGCTGCTCGAAGTCGAGGTCCTCGCGCCGCACCCTGGGGTCGTACTGGAGGTTGATGCCGCGCAGCGTGACGTCGTAGTCGAGCGTCGCGTCGGGCGGGACGCCGTAGAGCTTGGAGCCGCGAGTGCCAAAGCCCAGCGCCGGCGGCACGCGGAGGAGCCGCCGCTCGCCGATGCACATCTCGAAGAGGCCGAGCTCCAGGCCCGCGGGAAGCTCCTTGCTCCCGAGCATCGCGGCGAACCGGCGCCGCGAGTCGAAGACGACGCCGGCGACGCTGCCGACGTAGTCGACCTCGACCACGTCGGAGGATCGCGACCGCATGCAGGGAGACACGTCGCTGGGAAACACGCCGACGATCTGCAGCCGCGCGGTCGGGTTGCCCTGCGCCTGCGCCATGCGCTCGAGCGCGGACGCGCGATCCAGGCCCGCGTACGCGGAGTCGATGTCGAGCGCGAGCTCGACGGGCCGCGGCGCGGACCGCAGAGCTTCGCCGACGTCGGCGGCCGTCGCTCCGGCGGGAACCGGTCGGCCGTCGATGGCGACGACGTACGCGAGGGGCGTCACGCCCTTGTCGTAGGCCTCGGTGCCCTCCCGCACGCGCCGCACGCGCACGCGGCCGCCGGCGTCCTCGAGCTCGAGGCCGAGCCGCTCGCCGGCGAGAAGCACCTTCGTCGTCGCCGGCGCGGCGCGCGCAACCGCCGGCGCCAGCGCGGCGCCGACCGCCGCGGCGCCGACCGCCGCGGCGCCGACGTCGCGCCGCGTCGCGCCGCAAGCGGTCGCGACGCTGCTACTGCATCGCGGCGCTGGTTGCCAGCACTTGCGGCGTCGCGGCGCTGGTTGCCAGCATTGGGCTGTGCACAGCAGCAAAAGAGCTGAAACAGTGCGCGCACGCATCGTCTCGCAGCGCAGTCGCAGAGCAGCCATCGAGAATCTCAGCAACACGCCTGCAAGCACCATTCAACATCGGACGCGTCCAGAGAGAGCGCGCGTCCCCTTCAATAACTAGTCCAACGTCACGAAAACCGACTTCTTATCTGCGCCGCCTCGTCGTCGTGACGGCGGCGGGCCCCGACGCGCGCCGTCGCATGCGGTGCGTGCGGTCGTAGGACTGCTGCTCGAGGACGTCGAGCTCGTCGAGCGCCGCGCCGAGGCCGAAGAGGTCCTCGAGGGACCGCTGCGTCGAGACCTGACCCGAGTTGCGGCCCCGGGATAGGCGCGCGGCGTGCTCGAGCTGCTTTCGCCGCTTCTGTTTCGCCGGCTCCTCGCCGCCGCCGCCGCCGCCGCCGCCGGCCGCGGCCGCGGCCTCGTTCGCCTCGTCGCGTTGGAGCCGGCAGGCCCGCTGGCGCTGCTTGTGCCGCCGCCGCGCGTTGAAGCGCAGCTCGTCCTCGCGCGTGTCGATGTCCTCGTCGTCGTCGCCGGGCGACGGCGCGCGGGTCGGCGCCGACGCGCGCCGGCCCTTCTTCGACGCCGCCGCTTTGGCGTGGAGCTCGTGGCGCCGTAGCACGAACTCGTCGTCGTCGCTGCTCTCGTCGTCGACGGCGGGCAGCGCCACGCGCATCATCGTCCGCAGGCCGCCGTTGCTCAGCTGGGTCCGCGTCGGTGGGGGCTGCCTGGGCACACGGCGCTGCGGTGCGGGGTTCGTCGTGCACCGCGTCGTGACGTTGCACCTCCGCGCGAAGCACTGCTCGTCGTCGTCGCGGTGAGGTTGGACGCACCGCGCGACGCACCCGCAGCGCTTCGCCGCGCGACGATGGCCTGCGCGGCGACGCGCCAGCACAGCGACAGCGACTTCGACCTCGGCTCCGACCGCCACGTGTCGCTGGCCGAGCTCTGTTCCTACCTCAAGGAGACGGGCGCGCCCGCGCCCGCCGCCGAGGACGCGCCGGCCGAGGACGCGGACGCGCCGGCCGCGGCCGCGCCGGCGGAGCGCGACGACCTCGAGGACCAGTGGCGGGCCATGTTCGCGCGGCTCGTCGACTTCCGGCGCGAGCGCGGCCACTGCCGCGTGCCGCGCATCCACGCCGGCGGCCCCGGCGCGAACCTGGGCGCCTGGGTCGCGACGCAGCGGTCCGCGCGCGCCGCCGGCCGCATGCCCGCTGCGCGCGTCCGCGCGCTCGACGCCGCGGGCTTCGTCTGGGACGCGGCGCGGGACGTCGAGGACCGCTGGGCTGCGGGCCTCGCGGCCCTCGAGGCCTTCGTCGCGGACAAGGGCCACGGCATCGTGCCGCGGGCCCACGTCGCGCCGGGCGGCTTCGCCCTCGGGTCCTGGGCGAAGAACCAGCGCGACCTCCGCGCGCGCGGCTCGCTGAGCGACGACCGCGTCGCGGCCCTCGACGCGGCCAAGTTCCCCTGGGACGCCCACGAGGCCGAGTGGGCCCTGAACCTCGGCCGCCTCGCCGCGTACAAGGCGGCGCGCGGGACCTGCGACGCGCCGCGGAACCACGAGTCGCCCGACGGCGCCAAGCTCGGCAAGTGGGTCGCGCGCCAGCGCGAGTCGCGGCGCACGGGCGCGCTCAGCGCGGACCGCGTCGCGCGCCTCGACGCCCTCGGCTTCGCCTGGCTCGGCAAGGCCTCGAGGAAGCGCGCGCGCGAGGCGGAGGGCGCTTAAGTCCTGCCCGAGTAACCGTCCTCACGCGAACCAGAACCACAGGAGGGCGGCGGCGACCGCGGCGCCGGCGGCCGCGACCCGGAGACCGCCGGACGAGGGCGGCGCCTCGCGCGCCGCGCGCTGGCGGTCGGGGCTCATCTGCCAGATCGGCAGCTTCCTGACCGCGGGGGCGTACCCCTGGTCCGCGGCGAGCTTGCAATAGTCGATGGCCCGGCGCTTGTCGACGGCGCAGCCCATGCCGTTGAAATACATCAGGGCGTAGTTGTACTGCGCCTCCGCGCTGCCCTGCTTCGCCGCCAACAGGTACTGGTCGATGGCCTTGCCCAGGTCCCGATCCTCGAGGCCTTTGCCGGTCCGGTACGCGTTCCCCAGGTTGAACTGGGCCTTGCGGTAGCCCATCGCCGCGGCCTTCTGGTAGTATATGAAGGCGTTGCACTCGTCCACGCCGCCCACGCCCTTGCCCTGCTCGTAGCACGCCCCGAGGTTGTAGATCGCGCGCGCGTGGCCCTGCGCGGCCGAGGCGCGATAGAGCAGGACCGCCGCGCGCGTGGCGCCCGACGCCATGAGCCGGTCGGCGAGCATCGCCTGGGCCTCCGAGTTGCCGCGGTTCGCGCTCTTCTCCAGCAACGCCCTGCTGTCGGCGTCGCACCGCGGGAGCGCCGTCCCGCAGTTCGAACACTTGTCCTGCGCCCGCTGCGACGACGTGCACGCCTCGCAGTAGCTCTTCTGGCAGCACACCGTCGCGTTGCCTCCCTCCCACGGCACCAACGGCGCCGCACACGCCGCGCACGCGAAGCTCTTCCCGCCGCCTTTGCCACCGCTCGAGCTCTTCTTCTTGCCCATGGCGCAGCGCGGCGACGTGACAGAGAGAGGACCCGCCGCTATCGCGGAGCAGCTCGGTGGGCGACTTCAACTTTTCCGACACCATGCCGTCCAGCGTACGCCTCTGGGTACAATCTTACGCGGGCGCGAGGCGCACGGGCGCGCTCAGCGCGGACCGCGTCGCGCGCCTCGACGCCCTCGGCTTCGCCTGGCTCGGCAAGGCCTCGAGGAAGCGCGCGCGCGAGGCGGAGGGCGCGGGTGCGTCGTAAGCTTTTCAACAAGCAGATGCGCTGCACGTATGAGAGATTAGAACTAGGCGAGGGGCTATTACCGAAGAAAGTCATTAAAATTGGCGATCACATGTCATGGGGGAGGGGATGCAATCTCATCACAGTCGTCTGAGGGACGTCTGCGGGCATTTCGCAGGGTTGGAAATCCTCTGGGGAATCCTCTCGGATAGCCTCCCGGAGTAAACATTTCACAGTTCTGCTGGGAAGAAGACGAGTTCATTGACAAAGCTGCTGTGGAATTTCCCCGATCACAGCGGCTATGCTTGCATGGGCGGCTTCAGCCGAGGCTCGCCTCGTATTCTCGCTTGGATTTGAGCGTCTTCTGCGCCTCGACGAGTTCCAGGCGGAGACGATCGATGCGCTGCTGGAGGTCGTCGACGGCGCCCTCGGCCGCGGCCGTAGCGCCCGCGGCCGCCGCGCGGCGTTCCGCGAGCTGCTCCGCCGACTCGGCGGGCGGCGACGGCGACTCGCCGGCGGTCTCCGTCGACTCGCTGCGCGGGCGCTGCGCCGGGCGCTTGGACGGCGACGACGGCTCGCGCCGGCTCGACTTCTTGGGTTTGGACTTGAAGAAGAAGTCGCGGATGTCGCCGTCGCGCTGGGAGGCCGCCGTCGTCGTCGCCGCCGCCGACGCCGCCGCGGGCGCGGGGGCCGGCATCGTCGCCGCCGACGCCGCCGCGGGCGCGGGGGCCGACACGTCGACGATGTTCGCGAGGCCCGCCGGCGCGTCGGGCATGTCGGTGTCGGTGGCCGCGTAGGCCGCGTCGGCGCCGCTCGCGGCGGCGGCGCGGGCCGCGGCGGCGGCGTGGGCCGCGTCGGCGGCGCGGGCCGCGTCGGCGGCGGCCGCCCGCAGCGTGAAGACCCCCTTGGGCCCGAAGACGCCCGTCCCCTTGGCGTGCATCTCGACGAAGTTCTTGTGGGGGGCGACGATGTCCGCCTTCGTCGCCGCGAACGGGATGGAATTCGAGTGGAGCTCCACGGGCGGCGGCACGCCGTATTCGAACCACAGCACATCGATCATAAACTTCGTCCACTTGCCCCAGCCGAAGACGAGGTGGGCGTTGAAACACGCGAGGACGAGGTAAAAGTTGTGCTCGTGGTAGCCCCGGTCGTTGTCGTCGGGGCGTTCAGGGGAGACCTTCCGCGGGTAGGTCTGCGTCGACGAGTCCAAGGGCGGCAGGGATTCGGCCTTGAGGGGAATGCCGCTGAGCGCGCAGCGCGCCTGCTGCGTCTTGGCCACGTCGAAGACGAAGTCGAAGTTGACGGTGCATGAATCGCTGTTCGCATAAGTGGTGTTGCCCTGCATGTTCTTGTGGATCCCCCAGAGGTCGACTAATAGAGGGTGGAAGCGTCGCAGATTTGAGCGCTCCGTGATCTTCCACGTGCAGCTTTCATCACTTTCGGTCTTCGCCGTAACGCGGAACTCGGAGCCGACCGCGTACGCTGAAAAGTCACCACCACCAATACGACCGCAGCGGGACTTTATCTCCGTATTCGCCTTCTTTGAAGAATCGTAGAACGTGAACTCTGCCTCGCCGTCGAATTTCACTTCCTTCTTCTGCGGCTCGGTTGTCCGAGGCGACAACCGAACATCCTTTGCCCGCTGCATCGCCCGTACGAGCCGCCGCTGCGCGTCGAGGTCAACTGCTCCGCGCGCTTCCCCAATCATCACGAAGAGCTCGCGGCTCCATTGCACTTGCCAGTGCTGGAAGCAGCCGAAGACCTACGAACCGGACATGTCACAAAACGCGCGGGCCCCTTGAAACGACGCTGAAGCTCACGACGTGGACGTTGCCGTCGACGTAGCCCAGGCTTTGAGGACCAGCAAGCTGGTCGCCGCGGTCGAGGGTGATTTCTCCGAGGTGCGCGATGCGCATTTGGGAATACGCGCATTTCCAGTCCTGCGCGACGAGCCATCCGATGACCACGTCAAACGCCTGGCCGGGCTGCTTGTGCCCGGCCAGCGTCGTCGACGTCCACGCCAGCGGCGCGGACGTGCCGTCGGCGCGGCGGTTCGCGAAACGATTGACGTGGTTTCTTGCTGCCTCGACGAGGTCGTACAAGATGTGGCACATCTTCTTGTTTTGCATCGTACCCGGGTAACCGGCCGCTTGCCATGCCAGAACCTCGGCCGGGAAGCCGTCGGCCCAGTCGTCATGGCGCTGGCGCGCCTGGCGCGGCGTAAGACGGCCGCCTAGGTCCATGCCAGCTGGCCAGGCGCGGCAGCACGCGATAGCTCGGCCGAGTTGCCGAAATCAACGAAGGCCTGAGTTCCGTCACTGCGCGCGAGCACGGCGTTCGCCAAGGAACGCTGTGCCCAATACTTCGGTAGGGCGAGAGAAACCCCGCAAGCCTACTTATCCCACGCACACTGCGCTTTACTCAGCGCGCCACTATGCGAAGCGGCGCAGGTCCTAGTCGTCGAGGCCCGTGAGCATCGCGACGCCGCGCTTGATCCAGTGCTGCTGCGTGTGATGGCTCGCCATGGGCACCCTGATGAACATGACGAAGTTCGTCGAGTGGCCCGTCGTTGACAGCGTGCCGTTGCGCGTCGATTCCCTACGATGCAACTCGGTGACGGTTTCTCGGGGGCGCGAAACGCTCGGACGCTGGGCACGCGCTTGTAGATCGGGCACTGGTACATGTGGGCCTCGCCGCCGATGGAGCCCGTGTAGAGCTCGGGCCGGCCCTTGATGGGCGGGATGTCGCCCTTGACGCGCGGCATCATGTGGAACATGGGCACGACGGTGTAGAGCTCGCGCGGCCGGCTCTCGGCGATGACGTGGCCGTTGACGTCCCAGCGCGCGCCCTCGAGGAAGAGGCCGTGGCAGATGGAGCCGTCGGGCGCCTTCGTCGCCTTGGCCTCGACCTCCTTCTCCGGCGTGAGGATGGCAAAGTCGAAGGCGACGGTGTCGATGGGCAGCTGGTACTTGCGCGCGTAGTTCTGGAGCGTGCCCGTGATGAAGGCCTGCGTGAAGAAGAAGCCGGAGATCCAGAACGTGTTCGGCGCGGCGCGCGCGTCGACCCAGTCCTGGAGGAACTGGAGGCGCAGGAGCAGGTCCGCGACCCAGGAGCCGAGGGGCTTCCGCGACGGGTACGCGGCCGCGGCCCAGATGCCCGGCACCTTGCCGTTGACCATGGCGTTGCCCATGGACTCGAGCTCGCCGCTCATGACGACGAGGCCCTTGATCGCGCGCTGCACCTCCTTGAGGAGCCGCTTGATGAGGTCGCTCAGCTTGTTGAAGCGGAGCAGCTCCTGCGTGAGCACCGTGTTCATCGACTCCTCGTAGAGCACGGGGAAGTCGATCAGCGCGCGCTCGATGTCGTAGAGCTTGGGCAGGCGCGCCTCGATGTCGCTCGACACCTCCGCGAGCTCGTCGTCCCACGACTTGCCCGCGCCGCCCGAGCTCCGCGGCTGCAACGAGAGCACCGTCGACAGCAACAGGTTCGTCTCGCCGAGGGCGCAGGTGATGTTCGCGTTGTCGTGGAGCCCGAAGAGCTCGGGCCCCTCCGTGTAGGGCAGGCCCTTGATGTACTCCGTGTACGACGCCAGGTCGCCGTCGGGCGGCGCGTAGTAGCGGCCGCTGGGCGAGAAGGTGTAGCTCGGGTTCTGGATGTCCTCCGAATAAAAGTCCGTGAGCATGTTCGCGAGGCAGCGCCGGTCCTTGTCGTCCGTGACGCGGCCGCCGTAGTTGCACTCGCCCGTGAGGTACCGGAGCGCCGCGTAGGGCACCTCCTCGTCGCTCTCGACGTTGTCCAGGAAGATGCGCAGCTGGTCCATGGAGATCTTGAGGTCCGAGCCGCTGAAGACGTACTGGATGTTCCAGCCCAACGGCCCGAACTTGCGGCGCTCGCGGACGACCGCGTGGAAGAAGCACAGGCCGAAGAGCAGCTTCTTGAACTCCGCGCTCCGCTTGACGCCCTCGACGAAGTCCGTCGTGATGAGCGTCGTGTAGGAGCCGATCAGGTTCGCGCGCATGCCCTTGGGCGGCTCGATGGTCATCTTGATGCCGTTCTGCAGAATGTACGCGGGGAACGCCGTCGACGGCTCGGACGTGAGCCAGAGCCGGAACTGGTCGTTGATGCGGTCCGGGCTCAGCTCCTCGCAGAGCCGCTCGAGCGTGGGCATCCAGGAGATGCAGAGGTGGCAGTTCTGGAGGCAGACCCAGGTGCCCTTGTCCTGCGCTTCCGAGATGGCCGCGTACGCGATGTCGCCCTGGCCCTGGCCGAGCGAGATCGCGTGGAGCCGCTTGCCCATGAAGCCCTTCTCCTCCGCGAGCTTGTACAACGCGCTCATGGGGTCCGCGCCGGGCGTCAACACGAAGAGCAGGGGCGTGTTGCACCGCGAGTCCGCGAAGCAGCCGTTCAGATCGAACTGCGGCACCTCGATGAACCGCGCGCCCATCTCCTCGCGCACGAAGGACTGGACCTGGGGCACGACGGCGTCGGGCCGGATGGCGCGCAAAGCGCAGAGCTGCTGGAAGGCCGACAGGCCGTCGGCCTCGCGGGCCTCCTCGCCCTCCTCCGCGGGCTTCTCGCCGCCGTCCTCGTCGACGAGGTGCCGCGAGTCGCCGACGAGGAGCACGAGGTCCTCCATGGGCTGCTTCGACTCGTAGACCGTCTTCCACATGTCCAAATTGTCGACGAACTTGTCCACGAAGCCCTCGAAGCCCTCGAGCTTGCCGATGGCGAGCACGTCGCCCCAGGACTTGTCCGCGAGCCAGTCCGTCTCCGGGATGGACCGCTCGCGCTCCATGGACGTGTTCCCCGCGAGGAAGAAGCGCAGGTGCGTCGGGTCGAGCTTGCTCTGGCCCGACATGATCTTCACCGTCAGCAAAAAGGAGAAGAGGAGCTTGTCCTTCTCGAAGAGGGACCGGCACACGTTCTGGTACAGAATGTACGTGAACGTGTCCTTGAGCGACGCGAGCCGCTCCTCGAGATCCGTCGAGAACGCGGCCTTGCCCATGGCGTCGCGGAACAGGGCCTGGTACCACTCCATGGAGTACTGGTACATGGGGTCGATGATCGACAGGTCCGCGATGCAGAAGAAGAGCTGCGACGCGTGGAACGCGAGCGGCTTGTAGCCGCGGCGCGTCTTCGCGATGATCTCCGACGTCCGCGCGGCGTCGCGGACCTTCTCCTCGATCTTCTTCGATTTGATCTTCGACTCCTTGAGCGTATCGATGAGGTTCTCGTCGTCGAGGATGTTGCCCTCGGCGGTCTTGAGCAGATAGAGGATCTTGTCCTCGATCTCCTTGAGCTGCCGCTTGTTCTCCGCGTCCTCCATGACCAATTGCTCGCGCTGCGCCTCGAGCTCCGCCTCCTCGCAGGCGACGGCGAGGCCGAGCATCTGGTCCTCCAGGCCCTCCGTCGTCGCCATGAAGTTGAGCAGGTTCACCTTGACGCAGAGCTCGGGCGGGTAGTGCGGGTTCCGCATCTTCGTGGTGATGAACATGCGGAAGCGCTCGTCGTACTCGATGGTGCTGTCGCCGAAGCGCAGCGAGTTGACGCCGCCCTGCTTGATGATCTGCTTGAGGAGCACGGGCTCGAGCACGGGGTCCAGGACCTCGCCGACGTTCTCGACGAGCACGGGGTTCCCGAACGGGATCGCGTTCTCGATGGTCCGCGCGAAGGTCGCCTGGTTCAGCTTGACGACCTTCAAATTCTCCGCGTAGGTCTTCTTGACCCACTTGTTCGCCTGGCCCTGGGGGTCGATCATGAGGGGCCACCGGTTGGACCGCTCGAGCATGATCGCGTTCTCGATGGAGAACTCGTCGTTCGGCAGCTTGTTGATGACCCAGGACCGGATCGCGACCTCGTCGCCGAGCGTCGACCGCAGCGTGAAGCCGTCCGTGAAGGGGATCTTGAACTTGTCGAGCAGGAGCTTCCACTGGCTCAGCGCGTCGTCGCGGTACTGGACGACGAACGCGCCGAGGTACGCGATGACGCCGCTCGACAGCAGGATGTCGCCCGTGACGTTCTCGTACTTGCCCGCGAGCTCCTCGGACAGCTCGTTCCAGCGCACCTTCTCGCCGCCGAGGCCCTTGATGAGCTGCTCCGCGCGCTCGAGCTTCGTCGCGCAGTCCGTGACCTGGGCAGCACAAGGGTGATGCAACGTCGCTTCAACGTGAGTGTGCCGCGCGCGCGCGTCACGAGGAAAACATCCACGCTTCGAGACCGTTCCGAGAGATGATCGCTCGTCCAAAAATCAGCCGAAACGAGTGGAAACCGGCCGAGATATGAGCCTTTGAAGTTGGGAATGTCGCTCTCTTGTGCTGCCCCGTCCGTGACCTGCGTCTGCAGGTCGCCCTTCTTCTTGTTCGCGGCGTCGAGCTGGTCCTGGAGCGTCTGGAGCTTCTTCTGGACCTCGGCGAGCGTCGCCTCCTTCTCCTCCAGCGCCTCCTTGGCCGACTTCAGCGACTGCTCGGCCTCCTTGAGCGCCTTCTTCTTCGGGCCGACGTCCTTGGCGACCTTGTCGTAGATCATCATGGCGCTGACCCAGCGGCAGAGGCCCGCGGCGGCGATGGACGCCTTCTTGACGACGTCGACCTGGAACTGCTCCTTGGTCGTGTAGGTGATGACCTTCTCGACCATCGCGGGCGCCATGTTGTCGCGGTCGTACTCCATGAGGTGCTGGAGGAACCGCGGGTCGCCGAGGAGGTTCTTCTGGGCCGGGCCCCAGTAGTCGTCGATCTTCTTGTTGCCGCCGTTGGGGTCCTTGATCTTGTCGGGCTTGACGGCCATCATGAGGCACACGGCCTCCATGACGAGCTTCACGGCGTCCGGCGGCTTCTTCATGGCCTTGATCTCGACGATGTCGCCCTTGGACAGCGATTTCAGGGCCGCGATGGCGCCCTCGAGGGCGGGCATGGCCTTGTCCAGGTCGGCCTGGCACGACTCGGCGATGCCCGCGGCCTCGGCCGCCTGGTCGTTGCAGAGCTTCCGCTCCGTGGAGACGACGGCCTCGACCTTGTTCGCCTCCTTGGTGTCGACGGCGATCTTCTCGAGGAGGGCGTCCGTGTCGATGGTCGCCTGCTTGAGCTTGGGCTGCAGGGCCACGAGGTCGCGCTGCATGCCGTCGACCTGCGCCTCCGTGCTCAGGATCTTCTCGAGGCCGTTGTCGTAGCGGACCTTGCGCTCCATGACGTCCTCGCGCTGGACCTCGAGCAGCTTCTTGAAGGTGTTGATGAGCTCGAGGTAGGACGTCGGGGTGACGTAGTAGTGGCGGCCCATCTCCTGGAGGAACTTCGACGACATCGTCGAGACGCGCTCCTGCATGTCGACGCAGATGTTGACGACGCCCGCGCGCACCTCGTCGTCCATCTTCTCCGAGCCCAGGAAGAACTCGGCGACGCTCCGCAGGGCCTCCTCGGGCCAGGCCGTGAACCAGTCGATCGTGCAGCAGTTCACGAGCGCCGGGAACATGCGGAGCCTCCGGCGGAACGCGTCGCCGATGGGCGACATGGTGAGGACCACGTGGAGGTTCGCGCGGCAGCGCGAGATGAAGTACTTGTACATCTCGGCCATGACGCCCGTGTTGACGCCCGCCGCGTTCGCGTTCTTGCCGATCTGGTCGTTGATCGCCGCGAGGTCCTCCTGCACGAAGAGGTTCGGCACCTCGCCCGTGTTGAGCACGAGGTTCACGTCCTCGAGGAAGCTCTCGTAGACGATCTGCGTGTCGTCGAAGAGGAACACCGTCGGCCGGCCGTCGCCGCCCTCCGCGCCCGCCTTGACGAAGATCTTCTTGAGGTCCTCGACCCACTCCGTGCGGCCGTAGGACTTCGAGATCTCGATCTGGATCATCTCGTAGTCGCAGATGTAGACGGCGAGCGTCGTCAGCGACTTGCGGCCGCTGCCGCCGACGCCCATGAGCAGCGCGTTGCCGTAGGGCTGGTTGATGATGCGCGCGATGCGCGAGATGTGCTCCATGGCGTTGAGGAAGAGCACGAGCGACATGCGCTTGCCCGAGTTCTGGTTGTAGTCGAGCAGGAAATACTGCATGGACTCGTGGAGCGTCGCCTCCTCGACGACCTTGCGGTACTTGCGCTTGTCCGGCATCGACGTGTGGTCCAGGTAGCTCCCGAACATGAGCGGCAGGCCCGGCACGAGGACCTTGGCCGCGTAGTCGAGGGCGAAGGTGTCGGAGACGCCCTTGCCGAGCTCCTTGACGAACCAGGCGCGGTCGCCGTCGTTGATGAGGCGGTCGTGGAAGACGCGCATGCACTCGTGGCACCACAAACTCACAAAGGCCTCCTTGCCGTCGATGACGTCCGGGTGGCCCTGGGACAGGCCCTGGAAGACCTTGGACAGGTCGCGCAGGTTGAAGGTGTAGTGGCTCTTCATGGGCGTCGGCAACAGGCCCGACGCGATGGCCTCGTAGATCGAGATCGTCGCGTCGACGACCGCGCCCGACAGCGACTTGACCGCGTTGTTGTAGGAGCCCAGGGACCAGTCCAAGATGGTCAGGAAGACGCGCGTCAGCGACTCCTGGTTGAAGGGCACGAAGTTGATCATGTTGAAGTGGCGCACGTAGCGCTGCGTGATCTGCGTGCGGCCGCCGCCGGGCGGGCCCATGGCCGCGATGAACTGGATGTCGATGAGCTGGCGGAACGAGTTCTCCTCCCGGTTGTACCAGCCCGCGTGGTCCATCCACTGGCGCAGGATCTCGATGGGGGGCTGCGCGCCGAACTCCTCCTTCGCGGGCATGTTGAGGTCGTCGACGAAGATGAAGCACGTCTTCCCGAGCGGCGGGCCCAGCACGCCCTTGCGCCGCTTGTCCAATTTCGAGTCGATGATGTCCTGGGTCTGGTTCGCCGACGTCTGGGCGCTGAAGTTGAGGATGATGTTCGTGTACCTGTCGTCCTCGCCGGAGAGGAGCCGGTGGTTCTTGACGGACACGGACTTGCCCGTGCCCGTGTCGCCCGTCGTCAGCACGTGGAAGCCCTGGACCAGAAGCTGCTCGATGAGCCACTCGTGGCGCACCGTGTCCACCGTGGGCACAACCACCGAATTGAACTCCGCGTCCTTGGGGATCGAGAAGCGGCTCCCCGGCTCGACCCACGACGCCCACGTGCCCGTCTTGCAGTGGAACTTGAAGTCGTGCACGGAGCCGCCCTCCGCCGGCGGCGCCAGGTTCGACGCGCGCTTCACCTCGTCGTCGTAGGCCGGCGTCTTGTTCTTGAAGTCGACGTACTCGTCGGAGCCCTCGATGTCCTTCGCGTCGCCCGAGAGCAGGATCCGCAGGAACGCGTCGAACTTCTTCCGGCCCTCGAAGTCGACGCACGCGCCCACGGACCAGACGATGGCCAGAATAAAGAGGCCCTCCACGGACCGGGGCACGTCGTTGCCGATGCCGGCGACGGCCGCGTCGGCCATGAAGCAGTCCAGCAGCCGCAGCGACGCGCGCATGAGCTCGATGAGCGTGATCGGCGTCGGCACCGCGCAGAACTTGTCCACGAAGTAGGTCATGGGCGGGAAGAGCCACTCGTAGAGCTCGCCGAAGAGCTCGGCGTGGGCCGCCCAGGGCTCCTCGAGCGTCTCCGTCCACACGGACAGGAAGGGCTTCCACCCCAAATTCCGCGTCTCGCAGAAGATCATGCCCACGCGCGACACCGTCGCGGGCGACGCCTGCTCGAGGTCCTCGGCCTCGAACATCATGGTCATGCGGTCCGTCATCTTGATGATCTCGCCGGACATCAAACACAATTTCTTGTTGTCGTCGAGCACCGTGTTCATGTTCTCGATCCAGACCGCGTCGACGGGGCCGTCGAACATGACCCACATGCGGTCCTTGCCCGTGTCCATGGCGCAGTTGCGGAAGATGACGGCCAGGATGCCGTCGCTCCACTCGTGCGTGTTCTCGTCGAAGTTGCCGTAGAGCTGGCCGCTCTTGATGGACTTGGGATTCATCGTGTGGATGTTCACCTTCTCGAAGGGCTCGCCGCGCTCCGCGCACTTCGTCATCGCCGACGCGAGCGTGTGGATCGCCGACGTCTTGCCCGACAGCGTCTGGCCGACGATCATGACGCCGTGGCGCACGAGCACCATCTCGTAGAGCTGGACGATCTTGAGCGTGAACGAGCCCAGCGGCTCGAGCTTGTACTCGCGGCCCGGCGCGACGACGGCGCCGCTCCAGCAGATCTCGTCGATCGTCGGGATGAGCGCGCCGTGGTCCGCCGTGGGCAGCTCCACGCCCGGGAACAGGTCCGACGTGATGCCGCGGAACAGCGGCAGGTCCTCGACGGTGAACTTGGGCAGGTTCACGTCCATGACGGACCGCAGCACGATCTTCGACTCGTCCCAGGCCGGGTCGTCGCCGACCTTTAAGCGTAGATTGCCCGCGGCGACGAGGATGGAGTTGACCGCGCGCATGCCGTAGTCGTAGTGCTTCTGGGACGACAGCTGCTCCGAGCACAGCTGGAGGGTCCGCACGAGCTTCTGCGCGTTGCGCCGCGCGTCCTCGAAGCCAAAAGAATAGAGGCGGATCTCGCCGATGAGCGCGTAGTCCGGGACCATCATCGCGCAGGGCCGGAAGAGCGCCTTCAGGTTGTCCGGGAGCTCCGCGCGGCCCGCGTAGCCCGGGTTCATCGTGATGAAGGGGTTCGCGTTCGGGTTCAGCTTCATGAACGTGCCCTCGAACTGGAACTTCTCGACGCCCGCGGCCTTGCCCTTGTTGATCGTCAGGATCTGCTGCGCGATGACGGAGAGCACCTCGACGTTGATGCGGTTGAACTCGTCGAAGCAGCACCAGGAGCCGCAGCCCGCCAGACCCTTGAAGAACTTGGCCATGGCCTTGTAGTCCAACCCATCCGAGCAGTTGAAGACGACGCACTGGATGGCCATGGCCTTGGACAGGTCCTTGACCGTCTCCGTCTTGCCCGTGCCCGCGGGCCCCTCGGGCGCGCCGCCGTAGAGCAGGTCGATGGCCGAGATCATCGTGCGGTAGCAGCGGTCCGTGAGCGGCGTGATGACGAGGCGCATGGAGTTGCCCAGGTACTCGTAGCCGTAGAGGCACCGCGCGTTGACGATGCGCGCGACGGCCGTCTTCTGGCCCTTCTTGACGGCCTGGCCGTCCTTCCAGGACGGCTCCCAGTAGTAGCGCAGCTGGCTCTGCCAGTTGAAGTCGCTGACCTTGTCGACCTGGGCCGTGGCCATGGACACGCACGTGTCGCGCGAGTGGACGTCCATGACGACGAGCGCGGAGAGCGTCTTCCGCTGGAGCTTGCTGAGCTGGCCGCGCACGAGCATGACGATGGCCGTGAGGCCCTTGTTCAGCTCCAGGACGTACTCGTTGAGCGCCGCGTAGCCGCCCGTCTCGATGGTCTTGTTGACGTCGGACGTCCAGAAGATCGCGCTGGTCGCGATGACGGCCTGCGCGGGCCAGTTGAGCGTCCAGGCCGTGCGCTCCATGGTCGGGTACTCCTCGAGGCTGAGCTCGACCTGGCGGCGCACGCTCTCCCACTGGAGGTTCTCCAGCTCCAGCAGCCAGCGCTCGACGTTGCCCTTGTTCGCCGTCGACTCCGGATCCACCTGGGCAGCACAAGGGTGATTCAACGTCGCTTCAACGTGAGTGTTCCGCGCGCGCGCGTTCCGGAAAAAGCATCTACGCTTCGAGACCGTTCCAAGAGATGATCGCTCGTCCAAAAATCAGCCAAAACGAGTGGAAAACGGCCGAGATATGAGGCTTTGAAGTTTGGAATTTCGCTCTCTTGTCCTGCCCTGGGATCCACGGGCGAGTTGAGGTCCACGCGCTCGCCCTCGCCGGAGATCATCTGCGTGATCTTCAAATCCTTCTCGAATTTGACCTGGTTCAGGCCCTCGAAGGCCTTGCCGAGGTGGGGCTGCACCGCGCGCGGCTCCTTGGTCTGCGACAGAATTTCCAGCATCTGCTCGTCCGCGAGGAAGAAGAAGCGCGGGAAGAAGAGGCGCTTCATCTCGAGGTAGTCCGACAGCCCCTTCTGGATCTTGTCGAGCTTCTCGTTGGCCTCGATGAACTTGCGCTTGAGCTTCTTCGCGGGGTCCGCCTGCGCGATGAAGACGGGGTCCTCCTCCGTGGCCTTCATCGTCGCGCGCCAGAGCTTGTCGACGTCGTTGAAGCGCCGCGCCTCCGTGGGCAGCTGGCGCATGATGTCCTCGGAGCCGAAGATGGGCTCGAGGTACATCCAGACCCGCTGGCACGCGATCCACTCGTCGATCAACGCCTGCGCGTACTTGAGCTGGCTCTCCCAGGCCTTGGCGTCCTCCTCGATGGCCTTGATGAACATGGACCCGCACATGGTCTGGGTTTTTACCAAATGGTCGTCGAGCAAAGCGATGATCTCGTCGATGCCGCCGACGATGGACGTGCCCGTCTCCTTGTACGCCTTCACGTCGAACTGCACCAAACTCCACTCGTCCTTCATGGCCTGCAACCCTCGTTCTAAACCGTACTCCTTCTCGGCGGCGACGCAGACCTCCTGGATCTCCTCGATGTAGGAGCCGACGTTCATCTCGAGGAGCGAGTGCAGCGTGAGCTCGACGCCGTGGTCGTCGTACGGCGTGATCTTCTGGCCGATCTTGTCCGACAGGTTGGACCAGTGGCGCTCCTTGAGCGCCGGCGACGCCAGGGCCTGGATGAGCGGCAGGTTCTCCCGGAACTTGGACGTCTCCTCGCGCAACTTGCCCGCGCAGTCCGCGGCGCCGGGCGTCGTCTCTTCCAGCTGGCCCTTGAGCTTGTAGGACTGCTTCCACCAGATCTCGACCTCGCGCTGGATCTTGGCGCCGTCGAGATCGAGGAACGTGCCGTGGAGCCACTCGTGCAGGTTCGTGTGGAAGTCGGAGATCATGTTCCACAGGTCCCAGTACGGGTTCAGCTCCAACTCGATCGCGTCGAGCTCCGCGTACTCCGTCGGCGGAAACCCAAAAACCTGCTCGCGCGCGTTGAAGTCCTTGGCCTTGTTTTTGGCTTCGGTGATGGCGTCCTGGAGGCCGTTGATCTCCTCGACGTAGGACTGCTCCGACGCGTAGTCGCTGTACTGCTTCGCGCGGCGCACGTCGACCTCGAACTGCTGGAGCATCTCGTCGAACTGGTTCTTCTCGATGGCCAATTTGTCCATCATGCGCACCTTGTCCATCTCGATGCGCATCTCCGTCTCGTTGGACGCGTCCGCGACGCGCTTCGGGTACTCCATCGTCGACCACGCGAGGAACGTGTCCTCCTTGGACAACGGGATGCAGTACTCGTCGAAGGTCGCGATGCGCGCGTGCATCTCCTCGACCTTGTCGACCATCTGGAGAACTTCAATCCTAGAATTGGCGATGAACTCCTTCAAAGCCGCGAGCTCGGCCTCGTTCGCCGGGTGCTCGGCTAACCTCGCCAAAATCTCCTCGTAGCGCGCGATGGTCTGCTCGTTCTCGACGCGCGCGTCGTGGATGACGTGCTGGAGTAGGGCCATGCGCACCTCCCGCGCCTTGTTCGCCAGCGCGGCCTTGGCGGCCGTCGTGTCGACGGAACACAGCGTGAACCGCTCGTCGTTCTCGCTCAAGTTCTCGACGGCGATGGCCGCGTCGTGGAAGCGTTTGACTTCTTCCACGTACTCGGCGCGGCTCGGCGGCGGGTCCCTCCGCACGAAGGAGCGCACGTGGGACGTCGTCTCCACGGCCGAGATCCACGCGAACTCGCCGTATTTCGCGGCCAAGGCCTGCGGCGCCTTGAGCGCGCCGTCGAGCAGGCGCCGGATCTCCGCGCGGGCGCCATCCAAACGCGCGTCGACGTCGGCGACGAGCGCGTTGCCGCAGCCCACGTCCAGTAGGCGCCGCTCGGGCAGGTGCAGCAGCGACATGAGGTCCGCGTCGACGCAGGACAGTTCCCGGATCGCGGCCACGGGCTGGTCCACGCGCGCCAGCAGCGCCTCCTCCATCTCCTCGTGGGACGGCTCGATGGTCACCCGGGGGATCCGCGGCGCCGACGTGCGCTCCGTCTCCGGGAACGACACCTGGAGCATGACCCGAAACAGCGGCGGCGTCGACGCGCCCTCGAGCGAGTCGAGTTTCGGCACCTCGAGGGCCGCGTCGTCGGCGGCCTGGGCCGTGAAGCGGCGGATGAAGCCGACCCAGTCGTCGAGCGAGTTCAGGAGCACCTCCCGCAGCTGGTTCGTCATGCGGAGCTCGAAGTGCGTCAGCAGCCGCCGGAGCGGCCCGGCCTCGAAGACCGCCGCGTTGGACTGGAAGAAGTCGAAGACGTCCTGGATGTTGTCGACGATCTGCTCCGCGAAGGCCGTGCGCCAGTCGTTGCGCAGCGTCGCCGCGAAGTCGCGGCAGTGGCGCTCCTGCGCGGCCGCGAACTCCTCCATCGCGCACGGTAAAGCGAAGGGCAGCCCGCCCGGCCGCGTGTCCTTGGCCATGTCGCCGCCCGTGAGCGCCGACTCGAGGGACGGCGGCGCGGCGCGCTTCAGGGGCGACGACGCCGACGACGACGTCCAGCCCTTGGCCTTCTCCGCCGCGCGGTCGAGCGCGTGCCGCGGGTCCGGCACGAGCATGAACCGCTGCTTCGCGATGACGTTCTCCCACGTCGCCCGGAGCCACACGAAGGTGTCGAGCACCTCCTGGGACGCGGAGAAGTGGGACGCGGCGACGACGAGGCGCCGCTCGGCGTAGGGGTGCGGCGGCAGGGGCACCTTGGCCTTGCGCGGCGCGACGGGCGGCGGCGCGACGGCGCCGTCGGGCAGCTTCAGCGAGTCGTACTCGTCGGTGAAGGCCGGGTCGTTGCGGTAGCGCTGGCGCACGATGGCGCGCTTCATGGCGCGCGCGTAGGCCTGGATGACGTCCGCCGTCAAAGCGCGGAGCAGCGCGCCGCCGGGCGTGCCCGGCTCCGGGAACGTCATCCGGCCCGGCCCCACGGGCAGGCCGTCGTTGATCTTGCCGTGGATGCCCCGCAGCGTCGACTGCTGGATGGCGCGCACGGCCGTCGCCGGCTGCTCCGCGACGAAGTAGTCGAGCCGGAGCTGCTGCTTCACGGCCTCGCGCGCGGCGTGCGCGCAGTCGCGGCGCCGGAACCACGCCTTCTCGTCCTCGGCCTGGAACCGCAAATTCAGGCGGGACACGAGCTTGATCTTCTGGCCCATCTGGACCTTGTACTGCTTCGACTCCTCGACGTAGCCCAGGACCTTGCACTTGCGCCACCGCCACGTCGCCTCGTCCTTGCCGCCCGCGACGAAGTAGGCCGCGAAGCCCAGCACGTCGCCCGTCTCCGTCGTTAGACCGGTCGCGAGCCACTCCTCCGGGAGCTTGTCCTTCTCCTCGAACTCGAGCGAGTCGAAGGTCTCGATGGGCAGCCGCGACTCGTCGAGGCGCAGGAACATGGAGCTGTGCAGCAGCTTCGAGATGTCGTCCTCGTCCTTGGGGCCCTCGATCACGGGCTGCGGCGGCTCCTCGACCGCCGCCTCCGGATAGTCCTCGGGCAGCACGTCCTGCTCGTCCGCCGGGAGGAACTTCTTCCGCGTGCCGTGCGTGAGCGCGAACTGCGCGACGGGCGAGTCCGCGAAGACGTCCGTCGGGCGGATCTCGAAGGGGTAAGTCTTCGGCGGCGGCTCCATGGCGTTCTCCCGCCGCCGGGCGCGCCGGTCCTCCTCCTCCTCCATGGCCTTGGGGCCCTTCCACGACGTCCGGACGTTCGACGCGTCGACGCGGAACTTCTCCTCGACGCTCACCTTCTTCGACGCCGTCGCCTTCGACTTCTTCTTCGCCCCCTTCTTCTTCGCGTCGAGCTTGAGCAGCCACTCGGGCAGCGGCCGCTCCTTCAACGACGCCTTGGGCATGGGCATGGCGTCAAAACGCGGGCGCCGGGCAGGCGCGCGCGCGTCGAGCGGGGGCGCCGCTACCGAGCCAACGACAGCTCGGGCCGCGGCGTCCTCCGCTGCGCCGGAAGCCCGACGGCGCGGGGCGCGACGCCGGGGCGGCTGCTTTCGCCGCTCCGACAACGACCGCGGGGCCGCACCACCTTAGGCGTTGCTAGCTGCCGGGGCTGCTTCACGAAACGATAAAGATTGGATTCGGAGCTGATGATGCATTCGCAGCAACATCCCTCTCTGCGCGCTCTACCTGCTCTGCGACGAGGCGTGCCTCGACGCCAAGGTCGCCGCGATCCACGCGCTCTTCGACGGCGACGGCGACGGCTACGTCTCCGCGTCCGAGTGCTCGAGGTTTCTGCCAGAGTGCCTTTTGCGATGGCTTTGCGCATCGATCAGCGCCGCAACGCGCGGTTTGCAAAGACACGGTAATTCCTGTAATATGATGGACGACCTCCGTTCCTTGCGGCAGCACGTCAAGGCGACGCGCGTGTCCTACCGCGTCGCGACGCTGCGCCTCGTCAGGGAGGCCATCGTGGCGCGCGGCGACGGCTACCTGCGGCCGCACGAGGAGGTGGCGCTGCTCGACGTCGACGTGCGCGCCGCGCTCGCGCTCTACGCCGCGGAGGACGCGCTGCCGACGCGCACACAGCGCGCCATACCGCGCGTGCCGTCGCTCGGCCGCGGCGCGTTCCGCCGCGACTACATGTACGCCAACGAGCCCGTGGTCGTCGAGGACGTCGTCGACGGGACCTGGGGCTTCGCGGCGTTCGCGGGCGCGGACGGCGGCGTCGACGTGGCGGCGCTCGCCGAGCGATTCGGCGACATGCCCGTGCCCGTGCGCCGCGGCGAGGCGCGCGGCGAGCTGCCGTTCCGCGACTTCGCGGCGGCGTTTCGCGAGGGCGGCGCGTACCTGAAGGACTGGCACTTCCGGCTCGACGGCCTGGGCGCCATGGCGCCCGTGCCGGACCTCTTCGACGACGACTGGCTCTCCGGGGAGGGCGACGTCGACTTCCACTTTTGCTACCTCGGCGCGGCGGGCACGAGCACGCGCCTGCACTGCGACGTCATCAACAGCTTCAGCTGGAGCGTCAACGTCTTCGGCTGGAAGCGCTGGCGCTTCCTGCCGGCGGAGGAGACGCCCCTGCTCTGGGACGCCTTCGGCGGGGACGTCGCCGACGCCTTCGGACCGTCGACCGCCGACTTCCCGCGACGCGGCCGCGCGGCGCCCGTCGAGGTGCTCCAGCCCCCGGGATCGGCGATCTTCGTGCCCAGCGGCTGGTACCACGACGTCGAGAACGTCACGGACGCGCTGAGCGTGAACTGCAACTGGGTCAACGGCGCGAACTGCCTCTGGGCGCCCGCGCGGCTCGACGACGACGACGCCGCGGACGCGAGCAACGGCGACCTGTCGCGCGACCGTTTTTTAGCCAAGGTCGCGCGCGCGGCCGCGGCGTTGATCGCGGCGGACCTCGACGAGGACGGCGCCGCGGCCCTCGCGCGCGCGGGCGCCGTGGCGCGGCTCCTCGAGGACACGCAGGGCGACCCGGCGGTCGCGATCTACGAGGCCGCGGACGCGGCGCTGCGCGAGGCCGGCGCGCCAACGTCCCGGGCCGTCCACGCCGCGTGCCTGGAGCTCGCCGCCGACCCGGACGCGGACGTGACTCTGGAGGACTCGGAGTCGGAGTCGTACGACGGCTTCCTCGGCCGCGTCGCCGGCGACCTCTTCGAGGACGACGGTCACGCGAAGCCGCGGCGGCAGCCCCTGAGGCGGGGCTGGACGCCGGGGTTCCGCGAGCAGGTGGACCTGGGCGTGCGGGCCTTCGATTTCGCGCTGGAGAACGGCGAGGCCGTGAGCTGCGCCATCGAGTACCGCGACGCGGGCACGGGCAGCTCGGTCTGGGACGGCGCCGTCGTCCTCGCGCGGTACCTCGAAACGCACCCGGCGAAGGTCGCGGGCCGGCGCGTGGTCGAGCTCGGCAGCGGCACGGGCTTCGGCGGCCTCGTCGCGGCGCGCCTCGGGGCCTCCGAGGTGCTCCTGACGGACCTGGACCAGTGCCTGCCCTTGATCGAGGCGAACGTGCGACGCAACGGTTTGGCCGACCGCGTCGCCGCGGCGCCGCTGCGCTGGGGCGAGCCCGCGGACGTGTCGGCGGACGTCGTCCTCGTAGCGGACTGCCTCCTGCCCGGCTGCGACGTCCTCTTCGAGCCGCTCTGCCGCACGCTCGCGGCCCTGCTCGCGCGCGGCGCCGCGGCCTACTTCGTCTACGAGCAGCGGTGCATGGACTGCCGGCCCTTCTTCGCGCTCCTCGACGCCGCGGGCGTCGACGCCGCCCCGGTGCCCGACGGCGACCTCCACGCCACGTATCGCGCGCCGGAGATCCACGTCCTCGAGCTGCGATCTAAGTTTTGTTCTTAGGCTCCGCCTGAGGACACTCGTATTGCATGCCGCGCACGCTGTCGCAGGTCATGTCCGCCACGAGGGGCACGACCTTCTGCTCGGCCTCGTCGTGCCACTGCGACTTCTCGTGGTCCTGGAAGAACTTTTCGTTCATCCAGAGCTCGACGATGCGGATCCGCGACGCCTCGAGCCCTCCGAGAATGCAGCAGTGCGTGCACCCGGGGTCCTCGAGGCGCATCTGCCGCGCGTAGGCCGACGCCTGGATTGCCGTCAGCTCCGCGGTCCGCGCCGCGTCGCGCGCGTTCTGCGCCACGAGGATGCCGACCGTCGGCTTCCAGTTGATCCGCGACCAGACGAGCGCCTCGGGGTACAATTCGACGACCGGCGGCTCCTTCACGAGGTCCTTGACGCTGTCGTGCCAGCCGTTGCCGCGGCAGGGCGCGGACCGCACCTCGACGACGACGAGGTCGTGCTGCACCGTCAGGACCGTCGTGTACTCGGCGCCGGGCGGCATGGCGCTCGCCGCGATGATGGCGCGGATCTGCTCGGCGTGCGGGTTCGACTTCGGCTTGAGGTAGACCACCTTGCCGTTGCCGCGGAACGGCTCGAGGTCCGGGATCTCCGGGCCCATTGCAGTCATTGCTGCGACGCGGCTCGCCGAATGAATCCGTACGGCTCCTTGCAGTCAAGGTGCCGGGCGCCAGTCGCCTTACCTCCCTAGCAGCGCGACGAGGAACCGGAGCTGCGCCGCGCAGGAGGGCCCGTCGCGGCAGTGGTGGCCGTCGCCGTCCTGGGGCCGCAGGTAGCGGAGCGCGTGGGCCGGGAGCACGGCCGCGCCGACGCGCCGCGCGACGGGCGCGGCCGCGGCGTTCATGACCTTCACGCCCGGGTTGCCGCCGCTGCCCTCGCACTCGAAGCGCTTGTACTGCGGCGACGTCTCGCGCCAGATCAGCGTCGCGTTCGGCGCCGCGAACTCTCGCAGGACCGCCCAGGCCGCGCGGAGGCGGTCCGCGTACGCGCCCCGGTCGAAGCGCCGCGCGCCGCGCGTCGGCGCGCGCGCCGCGTCGTGCAGTCCGCTGTTGAAGAGCACCGCGTCGGGCGCGCCGCGGAGCGCCGCGAGGCGCGCGCGCCGGTCCGCGCCCAGCAGGCTCGCCGCGCCGTCGTGGTCCCGGCAGGGCTCCAGGCCGCCGGCCCAGACGAAGGAGACGCGGTACCCGCGGACCGTCGCGTCGAAGTCGCGCCAGCGGTCGTGGCCCCGCGGGCACCGCAGGCTCTCCGCGGAGAAGTTCAGGTCCAGGAGCGCGTCGAACGTCGCGCCTCCGCCGAGCGGGCACGTCGCGACGGCGACCCAGTCGCCGTCGCCCAGCGCCCGGCGCACGCAGGCGAGGGTCGTCTCCGCGTGGAGGAAGGCGACGAACAAGACCGCGAGCTCCTGCAGCGTGCTGTCGCCGGCGACGAGGAGCCAGCGAACGCCGGGCTCCGACGGCAGGACGCAGCCGAGCGGCGCCCAGGTTTCGGCGACGTAGCCGCCGACGGCGCGCTCGCCGCAGGGACTCGCCGCCGGCGTCGCGTAGGGCGGCACGGTCATGACCAGGGGCTCCGCGAGCGCGTCCTTCTGCAGGTACTTTGGGACGCACGCGCCCTCGGTCCGCGCGGCCTGCCACGAGAGGTCCGCCGCGAAGCCCGTCCATTCCACGAAGGCTCGAAGCTGCCAGACGCCCGGCCGCAGGAGCGCCGTCGCGGCGTAGCGGCCCGCGGGCCGCGGCGCGACGGCGACGGGCGCGACTTCGCCGCCGGACGCGTTCGCGACGACGCGCAGGTAGGACGCGCAGGCGGCCGCGCCGTCGGCGACGAGCGCGACGCGGAGCCGCGCGCCGTCGACGGCCGCGTGCTCGACGCGCAGCGACGCCAGCGAGGACGCGCCGTCGCGGGCGCTGGCGTCGAAGCAGGAGGAGAGGTCGTAGTCTGTGTCGGTGCTGGGCCAGAAGCTCGCGTTCCACGCGTGTGTTGTGTACAATAGTAGGAGCCAGCGCATGTGCTATCGATCGCGGTCCATGCGTGCGAACATGTAGCAATCTAAGCAGCCCATAGCGCGTCCTTGACCGTCAACATCCCCAGCAGCTTTGGCCGAGGCGCGGATCAGCATTAACAGCATGGCTGAGGCCGACCAGCCCTCGGACGCGCCGACGAAATCCATACGCCACTCCTCGAAACTCCTCCTCTCGCTCTGGTCGCACACGGACCTTGCGGACAGCGTTGTGAGTTTCCTGCCGGCCAAGGCGATCGCGGGCCTCGCGCTCGTCTCAAAGCCGCTCCTCGAAGCCCAGCCGCGGGTCGTCTTCGCCGCGGCGCGCCGCCGAAATGTCGCTGAGAAATTCACCAGGGCGTGCTTCGAAGCGCTGGCGACGAGCGATTGGCACCATTTCCGCGAGACTTGGACCGACGGACTCGCACGTTGGACGATGCCTGATTCATTACTGCCGCATTATCGCTTCGGCACAGCTGGCACGCCGCCTCGGCTCGAGCTCGAACGAGATGGATCGGGTATTCACATGGGCTTCTACTGCCTATTTTCCGGAAGTAGTGAGCGAATCACGCGCTTGAGGATGCAAGTGGCTCTCGATAGCTTGGAAGATAATGGCGCAGCAGGTTACGCAATTCTTGCTCGTCACAGCCCAGGTGACTCGCCTGCAGACACAGGGTCTGGCTCGTATTTCAGCCATGTCACCGATGACGATGGGGAGCCGACTGGCGAGTTGGACCTCCGATGGCTCATGAAAGACATGCAAGGCATAAATACGTCCGCCGCGCTGGCCAGGAATATTCGAGTCGGAGAAATGTACACCATCGATGCGTCATATTCCTACGATAGTGATGGCGCGTGTACTGCTCATGTCTCGGTCAATGGGCAGCCAGCTGCCTTGTTTACTGGTCGGATGCACACTGTCAACATCCTCCAACTTTACAATTTCAGCGGTGGACTCGCGCGCTACGGCGACATCGACGTGTGGTACGAGTAGGGTAAAAACTTACTCGTCCTCGCCGCGCTTCCGGCCGACCCAGGCCTCGAACTTGGCGAGCGCGACGAGGAGGACGTCCCGCTCGACGAAGGCGAAGCAGATGCGGAAGAAGCCCGGCTCCGGCGCGTGCTGCGAGGCGCCCGGCGTGAGGACGACGCGGAGCTCGTTCAGGAGCGCGTCGTAGAGCGCGGCCTCGGCCTCGAAGAGCGCGGCCCGCGAGTACGCGCGCCGCTTGCCGTCGCCGATGATGAGCGGCAGCAGACTGGAGAAGTCGCACCAGAGGAACATGCCGTAGCGCGGCCGCAGGTAGGGCAGGCGGAGGCGGTCGAGCACGGCCGCGCAGGCGTCGCGCGACGCCGCGAGCGCGCGCGCGTTCTCCGCGAGGTACGCGTCGACGAACGCCTCGTCCGACAGCAGCGCCGCGACCATGGCCTGGCAGGGCCCGGGGACGCAGGTGAAGACCGCCGCCGTCGCGAGCGCCGACAGGAGCTTCTCGTTCTTCGTCCACGTGACGCCGAAGCGGAGGCCCGACATCCCAAAGTCCTTCGACAGCCCCCAGAGCACGTGGCGCCGCGGGCCCAGGTCGCCGCCCGTGAGCTCGCCGAGGCTCAGGAAGCCGTCGGCGTCGCCCACGGCCGAGAGGGCGTAGATCTCGTCGGAGACGAGGTGGAGCCGCCGGCGGTCGCACCAGTCGACGGCGAGCTCGAGCTCCTTCCGCGACAGCGCCCGGCCCGTCGGGTTGTGCGGGTTCGTCAGCAGCAGCGCCTTGGCCTTGCCGCCGGCGGCGTGATAGGCCGCGTCGAGCGCGGCCCGCGTGAGCGCGTAGCCCTTCTCGCGGTCGAGGCGCACGGGCACCTGTGTGCAAATCAACCAGTGAGCTGGGACGTCGGGGCCAAACTTCAGAATTCTCTAGCTCGGTCAAATCGAAGTCGATTCGGCTGATTTTTGGACGAATCGATTGCTCTCAGCGAGTTCTCGAAGCACGGCGGAAGTGCTCGTGTCAAAACATTCGAATACGCGCACATTGAAGTCGGGTTGAAGATTTGATTTGCACACAGACGGGCGCGCGCCTGAGGTCGCAGACGGCGCGGAGGTCGCTGTCGAAGGCGCTGTAGTAGGGCGCGGGGATCAGCACGGCGTCGCCGGCCTCGCAGATGGCGAAGAAGAGGTTGTTCAGCGCCGCGCCGACGCCCGTCGCGCACGACAGGTGCGCCGCGTCGACGCGCGTTTTCACGACGCGCGCCGACAGGAACGCCGCGAGCGGCGCCCGCAGCGCGTCCTGGCCCTCCATGGGGCCGTAGTTCGCGACCCAGTCCGGCAAGTTGCGTAGACACGCCTCGACCTTGGGTTTCAGTGTGCGCCACGCGAGCTTGTTCTCCGCGACGGCGAGGAGCACGACGCCCTCGCCGGTCGCGCGGTCGTAGGGATGCTCGAAGCCCGCGATGAGGCCGCCGATGTAGGGCAGCGGCGGCTGGTTCAGGCGCAGGCCCCGGCTCGAGATGCCCTCCTGGGACAGCGCGAGCTCCTTCGCCTTGCGCTGCCGCCGCCGCTGGCGCTTGCGCTCCTTGCGTCGCCGCGCTTGCTGCACGACGGCGGCGGCCGCGACGAAGCCCAAAGCTGTGATGATGACGGCGTAGGGCGGCGGAGGCTTCGCAGCCATCGCGCAGCGTCGAAAGGTGTCTTGCGCTTTTCAGCCTGCGCAGCTTGAAGGTGTTGCGTCTTCTGCCACAGACGACGTCGGTGGCGGTAGAGAATTGCGGCATTTTTGCGGCAAGGTTTTTAGCGAGCCCTGATCGAGCACCGCACGAGGCCGCGGATCTAGAACTTGAGCAATGGCAGGCGCTCTCCTCCGCCTCACGGCTGCAGCCGCTCTGTTGACGACCAGCTGCTGCTTCGTCGCGCCGCGGAAAACCACGCAAAAAGTAACGGCGACGCGCGCCATCTTCGACGACGACGACGGCAGCATCTGGGACACGCTCTTCCGCTACGGCCCGCTGCCGACGGGCATCCGCGTCTTCCGGCCCGAGGTGCGCTCCACCGCGTCGTTTGCCTCGGTCGTCGCGCCTGCATCGCGCGCGCTCGCGCGAAATTTCGTTCCGCGCGCGCGACTCGCGCGACGCGCTCCGCAGGTCTACGAGGAGAAGGTCAACGAGCTCATGGAGACGACGGGCCGCACGCGCCTCGAGGCGCAGCGCGCGACGGATTTCTACTTCAACGACCCCAACGGCTTCGGCGTCCAGGAGATCCGCGAGATCGAGCTCGGCGAGAAGGTCGACTACTCGAAGAAGTCGGGCGTGCAGAACCGGCCGATCTTCTCCGCCTTCTGGGCGTCGTGGTGCTTCTACTTCTTCTTCATCTTCCTGCCGGCGCGCGTCGGCGAGCTCGGCGGCGTGAACCCGACGGGCTTCGACTTCGGCGGCCCCGGCCCCGGCGGGATCTACTGAGCGAGACCGCGATCACCGGGTAAAGAGAAGCTTAGCCCGGCGCCGATCACTGGGAGTTCGTGATGTCCTTGAGCTGCTTGGACTTGCGGCGGTCGGCGCGGCGCTGGAGGGCCTTGGCCTCGCCGGCCTTGGCGGCCCGCACGAGGAGGCCGAGGCCCGCGCGCTTCGCGGGGCTCGGCTCGGCGCGCTCCGGGGGGCTCGGCTCGGAGCGCTTCGGGGGGCTCGGCTCGGAGCGCGCGGCCGCGGGCGACGGGTCCTGCTCGGCCTCGCTCGCGAGGGCGCGCGCGGCGCCCCGCTCGGCCTCGGCGAGCGCGCGGGGCCAGAGCGACTCGGCCGCGGCGAAGAGCTCGTCGAGGGACTCGAAGCCGCGGCGCGGGTGCGTCGCGACGACCTCGCGCGCCGTATCCGGGCCCCGCGCGGTGAGCTCGAGGACGCCGCTGCCGTTGTCGTAGACGACCGCGAGGCGAGGATGCTTGGACGCGTTGTTCCGCGCGGCGGCCGCGACGTTGGGGAAGCAGTCTCCGAAGGACGGCGAGGACCCGCGGCGCGGCGGCACCGCGCCCGTGACGATCCGCGTGAACTCGCGCGACGAAGCCGCGTGCGCGATCTCGTAGGCGTCGGCGCGCCGCGACCCGCGGCGCCAGCCTCGCGGCAGGAGGAGCACGGGCGGATTGAGCTGCAGTTCGGCGGCGGCGAAGTACGGGGAGACGAGCTCGACCCTCCGAAAGACGTGGTTGAATTTCATGGACATCGCGTGGTCGACCGCGAAGAGCGCCTCGTCGCAGTCCGCGAAGGGAAGCGGCGCCGACAACCCCCCGGCGGAGTCGCGCCCGTGGAACTTCACCTCTATCGTCGCGCCGTCTTCGAAGAGGATCACGCGGTTCCGCACGGGCGCGTCCACGCCGAGCACGACCTGCCGCAGATGCGGTAGCGACGCATCGAGGTCGAGTTCCGCCGCCTCCTTCGTCGGCGAATCCCACCCCCAGATGGTTTGGGGTTCGTCCTCCTCTCCGGATCTCGATCGCGATGGGCTCGACGCCGGTGAGGCCATGCGGGGCGACGGCAAGAAGTACGTGCGATCGATCGGCCGAAGCGGCGTGGAATCGCCTCGCCTCGGATCGAGATGATTCTCGCTCAAGGTCGTCGCTAAGGAGGAGAGGCAAGTGGAGAGGCTGAGGCCTAGGCTGAGGAGGGGCGGACAAGGCGTCGGACAAGAAGTACGTGCGATCGACCGGCCGAAGCGGCGCGGAATCGAGGTCGCTCGCCGCGAACTGGGGTTCCCGAGCCCTGGGCCTGCCGCCGGAGGCGTCCGCACGGTACCCGGGAGCTTCTTACCGCGACGCGCCGCCCTCACACGCCCGCGAAGATGTTGCCGCCGACGGGCGCGGGCGGGGAGCCGTCCTTCTCGATGATCTCGACGACCTTGTTGGACGCCTTGGCGTCGAAGACGGCGGCGACGCAGACGTCGGCGACGAGGTCCCGGGAGACCTCGCCCGAGTTGAGCGTGTCCTCCTTGGCGACGACGAGCGGGCCCGTCGGCGGCTTCGCCTTCAAGCCGCCCGGGCGGACGATCGTGTAGTCGAGGCCGCTCTTCCGGAGGTAGTTCTCCGCGACGATCTTCTCGTCCAGCACGTGGCCGAAGGCGTTCGTGATCTGGAAGCCCGGCGAGTTCTCCTGGCCCCACGCGCGGCCGTTCGTGAGGATCGACGACACGAGGACGACCTTCTTCACGCCCGCGGCCTTGGCCGCGTCGACGAGCGCGACGGTGCCGAGGTTGTCGACGGCGTGCGCCGCGCTGTCCATCTTCAGCGGGTTGCCGGGCACGAAGCCGGTGGCGATGACCAGCGCCGAGGAGCCCTTGAGCGCCGCGGCCATGGTCGCGACGTCGTCGCCGACGACGTCCAACTTCTTGAAGTCGACGCCCGTCGCGTCGACGGCCGACACCTGCTGCACCATCGCGCCGCGGACCGCCGTCGACGCCTCGCCGAGCGTCTTCTTCGCCTTGTCGACGTTGCGCACGCCGGCGCTCGGCGCGACGTCGCTGCGCGCCACCAAGCGCTCGAGCACGCGCCGGCCCGTCTGGCCCGTGGCGCCGGCGACGAAGACCGTCGTCGCGCCGGCGCCGACGGCGACCTTGGGCGCCGCGAGGCCGGCGACGCCGGACGCGACGCCGGCGCCGAGGGCGCGGCGACTGACGGGCTTCAATGCGGAGCCGCTCCCGAACGACGCGACGAGGGCCAGGAGCACGAGCTTCATGCTGTTGGTGATGGCTGTCGAGAGCACGGCGGCGCTGCTGACGGTGTTGTTGATGGCCTCGGAGAGACGGATCGAGCGCTCGGCGCTTCACTTCATTGAAGTCTTCAAGATGCCACGTTTACCGCGCGCGATTCCGCGACGTTGATCTTCATCATGGCCTCGTCCTCGCGGATGTCCTCGGCGACGTCGCTGGAAATCAACTGTGCGACGCGAACACCCCGCGGACACGTCCCCGGCCCTCGACCGCCTCTTCTCCCGCGCGAAGAAACGGTCATCTTTCTTGCTGCGAATCCCTGGACATAGCCCGCCGTCTGCACACGGCCTCCGACCCTCGCGCAGCCCCGGGGCGTTACGACCATGCGTCGCCGCCGCCGGCGAGCGGCCTCCAGAGCCGGCGCGCCGCGGCCGAGCGCGCGGGCGCGTCGCACGCGGCGCGCGCGTCCGGGCACGCGGCGCGCGCGACGCGGAGCGCGCGCTCGAAGGCCCCGCGCGCGGCGACGTAGATGTCCGGCATGCAGGTCTCGGCGATGAGCGCGGCGACGTCCCGCTCCGCGGCGAGCGTCACGGGCGCGTCGTAGGCGGCGTCGGCGCGGACGTTCTTCCTCGGCGGCGGCGGAGGGGGGCCCGCGCCGAGCATGGCGAAGAGGAGCCAGATGGAGTCGTCGTAGCGCTCGTTCACGAGGAGCAGGCGGCTCGGGTGCGTCCAGAACGCCGCGAAGTCGGCGCAGGTGTCGGCGCCCGCGCTCCGCCGTCGCCCGGCGTCCCACGCGTAGAGGTGCGACTTTTCGCAGCGCGTCTCGTTCGACCCCCGCGAGAGGGCCGGGCAGGCGACGAGGGCCCCGCGGAGGAAGCCGGCGACGTCGACGCGCGCGCCGCCCGCCCCGCCGAGCTCCCGCTCGTGCGCGCCGCCCGCCCCGCCGGGCTCCCGCTTCCCGCGCGCCGCGCCGCGGAAGGCCAGGGGCCACGACGGCAGCAGCCGCCGCCGGCCCCGCGCGCGGTGGTGGTAGTGTAAATAGAGCGAGAGCGCCCACGCGTGCGGCGACCGCACCATCGACACGTAGCGCACGGAGCGCCCCGGCGCCACGGGCTGGAGCAGCGTGAAATTCGCGAAGTGGCCCACGATGACCTGGGCGGGATGGAGCGACGAGAACTGCTCGTGGCGCTCGGGCGTGACGCCCGGCCCGTAGTGCGTCTGCATCGTCGCGTTCGTCCGGCGCGCGACGACGTCGACGACCGCGCGCAGGCTCGTGCCGCCCGTCTTCGGGAAGTGGAAGAAGACGACCTAAGAAACGGGGATGGACGCGCGCGTGGGAACGATCGAAAGACGCCGAAGAGGCGCGTGCTCGCTGGCATTGAGTCGACGTCCGTGCGCGCGCAGCGCGACGACGCCGAGGAGCGCCATGAAAAGCATGGTAGGCGTCGACGGAGGGCCACGATGGTCCGGGAGGATCGGCGCAAACTATGAAGGTGCCGTGCTTGTGTCGAGCACTCCCGCGCACTTTCCCGCGCAGTGGGCGGTCCCACACTGCGAGGAGGAAACTTTTGTAGGCACGAAAGCATTAGGTGGGAATTCAAGATGCCGCAACGTTTACCGCGCGCGGTTCCGGTTCCCCGTGATGATCTTCATCATGGCCTCGTTCTCGCGGATGTCCTCGGCGACGTCGCTCGACGGCGGCGCCGCCGTCATCATCGCGGCGAGCTCGTCGCTGGTCAGCGGCGCGCCGAGGCCCGCGTTGTCGGGCTCGAGGCCCGTGCTCAGCAGCGACGCGCCGATGGCGACGGCTCCGGCGGCCAACGCCGCGAGCGACGCGCCGACGGCCGCGTCGAAGAGGCCCGACGCCGGCGCCTCCTCCTTCGCCTCCACGACCGCGCAGCCCGCGCCGACGGTGCCCGGCGTCGACAGCAGCCGCGCGAGTGCGCTGTCGCCTTCTGCCTTGGGCCGGTAGCGCGCTTCGGGGCACGCGACGCCCGGCCGCGGGTGCGCGAGCGCGTCCAGGACGAACTCGGCGCAGGACTGGCCGACGCAGTCGCGGAAGGACGCGTGCGTCTGCACGGCCGCGACGCGCCTGCCGCCGCCGGACGCCTCGACGCGCATCGCGTGGTCCTCGCCGACGAACGCGTCCGTGAGCTTCACGAGCGGTTCCGAAAACCGCGCCATGCCTCCCGAAAAGCGCTCCGTCTCCCACCAGGGCCGCGGCACCACCGCCACGAGCAAACGGAGCATCCAGTTCCAGGCGCCGGGCGCCGTGCCCATGCCCGCCGTCGACGACCCGGAGATGGCGAGCTCCTCCGCGACCGTCGCCGCCTCGGGGAACGGCCAGGCCCACACGTCTTCCGTCCGCCCGTCGCCGTCCAGAAAATAGTCGGCCGTGCCGAGGTCCGTGCCCGCGTAGGCCTCGCACTTGGCGAGCGCGCCGTCGACGTAGCGCGCCATCGGCGGACCGAAGCCGTAGTTCGTGATGTCCAAATTCACGGTGCCGGACCCGCCGAGGCCCGCCGTGAAGTAGCTAAACGACAGGTCCTCTACCGGCCCATCTAACACCTCGGCGCAGCGCATGGCGAGCACGTTCGACATGCCCGGAAAGGCTCCCGCCGCGACGAGCGCCGTCGTGCCCGCGGCCGCCGCCGCCGCGTCCATGGACCGCGCCGCGTCCAAGTACGGCAGCGGGTCCGACACATCCACATAGACGGGCACGCCGGCGGCCACGGAGGCCTCGAGCGGCCGCAGCGCCTCGTCTAACGGGCCGTCGAAGGGCCCCGCGACGTGGACGACGGCGTCGTAGCCGCCGACGTCGAGCGACGCTGAGGTGTAGTCGAGCGGCGCGTACGACACGTCGCCATGACCGGCGTCGCGCCGCACCTCCTCGCACGCGGCCGCGCCGCGCGCCGCGTCCCGGCCGGCGAGCGCGACGTGCAGCGACGGCTCGCGCCGCAGCAGGTGCGTCGCGCAGGCCGTGCCGATGCGGCCGGTGCCGCCGATGACGAGCACTTTTGCCGCGCCGGCGGTGCTGCACACGAGTGCGAAGACAGCGAAGGAGCTCGCAGCGCGCGACGATCGGCACCGCGCCGCGGCCGCACCCATTGCCGGCGCGGCTCCCATTGCGCTGACTCACAGAGCTCGACTTCACCTTGACTTCACATTTACTCGATCCTAGAGCGCGCGCATGGTGGCGGCCTGGAGGTGGACGCCCTTGCCGTGGGCGTCGTGGACGGCGCCGGAGCCGTCGGTGTCGCGGCCGAAGACGATCTCGTCGACGGACGTGTGGTACGCGCGCGTGTCGACGCGCTTGTTGTAGTGGTTGACCTGGCCCGGGTGCGAGCAGAGCTGGGGCTCGGGCCGCCGGGGCTGCTCCGTGGACCGGTTCCAGGAGCGCTCGCGGCGGTAGACGGACCCGCCCGTGTCCGCGTCCGCGTAGCGGACGCCGCCGACGGTGGGCCGGAAGCTCGCCAGACCGTCGCGGCGGCTCGGCAGCGACTTGTCGCGCGGGTCCGCGGGCGGGCCCCGGGGCCGGTAGGGCGCCGCCGGCGCGCTCTTGGGCCGGACCGCCGCCTTCTTCGACTGGAGCCGCCGCCGCGGCATGGGCGCGCGGAACCGCGGGTTACACCAGAGGTCGGCGTCCATGGTCACGAGCGTCGAGTCGTAGGACGGGCAGGCCGTGGACCGGTTCCAGGGGATGGGCGCCTGGGGCCGCTTGGGCCGGGGCCGCTCCCGGGCGCTCCCGCCGCGGCACTTCTTCTTCGACTTGACGCGCTGCTCGGCGTTGACCTTCTGGGGCGGGAGCGTCGGGAGGGCCGCGTTGGCCGTGCCGGGGCGCGACGCCTGGCGGGCGCCGAGCGGCGTCCGCGGGGCGGGGCGGCCCGTCGCCGTCACGGACCGCGGCGACGACATGGCGCGTCGCGACGTGCGTCGGCGTCGGCGGCGTTCCTTTGCTCTCCCACAGATCAGCCCGAGCGCGCCGTTTTATCATCAACACTGGCTTCAGCATCCAAGCACCTCGCAAAAACTCTCGTTCGGCGTCGATTGTCAAAAGGGGAGTCGCGCCGGCGGCCATGCTCGCCACCGCCGACGCAGCCCTCGTCGCGGCGACCATCGCCGTCGCCCTGCTCCTCGTCGCGAGCCCCTGCGGCGGCCTGCTCGTCGATTTTGTCAAGCTCCGCCTCGCGCCGCTGCCCGAGCGCGACGACGACGCCGTGGACTGGGACGAGGTCGACGACCGCGACGCCTGGCGCGCCGCGCGCGCGTCCGTGTCCCTCTGGCGCCGCGCGAGCGAGAAGGTCAACGGCTACCCGGCGTGCCTCGCCGTGAGCGGCGTGCGCGCGTCGCAGCTCCGGTGGCCGGACGGGCGGCGGCGGCCGGCGTCCGCGTACCGCAGCGGCGCCGACCTCGAGGCGCGCTTCAAGGGCGGCGCGTCGTTCCACTCCGCGCGCATCCTCTCCGGCCGCGCCGACGGCACCTTCGACGTGCTCTACCGGGGCCGCGCGGCGCCGCCGCGGGAGAGGACCGCGTCGACGCTCGGCCGGCGCGCCGCGCCCGCGGCCGCGGTCCTGGCGCGGCTCTCCTGCGCCGCGGTCTGCGGGCTCATCGCCGAGGCCGCCGCCGTCGCCGCGGGCCGCGCGCCGTCGGGGCTGCCGGGCGCGTGCGCGGCGCTCGCGGCGCTGCTGATCCTCGCGTCCCCAACGCCGCCCCTGTGCCTCGTCGACGCCCTCGCGACGGTGGCGCTCGTCGCACTCTGGCTGTTCCTCGATCTCGCCTGGCTGCTCTTCGCGTACGCGCTCGCCGTCGTCCCCTGGCCCGTGTTCGCCGGCCCCCGGGGCTTCGCGGCCGTCGTCGGCCTCGTTCTCGCCGCCGTCGCCGTCCGCGAGGCGTCGGACCCGGCGCCGTCGCCGGGAGCCCTCGGCCGCGGCGTCGCCGAGGGCCTGCCGCCGGGCTTCCAGCGGCGCCTCGCGGCCCAAGCCTCCCGGTCGCTCGCGGCCGCGGCGCCGCGGCGCTTCGTCCTCCAGGGCGTCTTCGCGGCCGTCGGCGCGGGCGTCGCAGACCTCGTCGCCGACGGCTACGCCCCGGCGCTCGCGGCCATCGGCCCCTTCCTCGCGCACGCGCTGCTCCGGGCCTACGCGCCGGGCCTCCCGCCGCGGCGCGCGTGCCGCGGCCGCGAGGGCGCCGCGCGCTGCGAGGGCGAGGGCCACCCCTACGCCGCCGCCCTCAACGCGGCGCGCTTTCCGACCTACGCGGCCCTCCGCCTCGGCGCGCGCCGGCCGCTGCTCCCCGCCGTGGCCGCGGGCGACGACGACGCGGCGGGCGCGTTCAAAGCGCTCGCGTCCGGCGGAAAAGTTCACCGCGCGGCGCTCGCCGACGCGCTCGCCGTGCCCCGCGCGGACGCGGCGCCCCTGCTGAGGGCTCTCCGCTACGCGATCGAGGACGGCGAGGCCGCGGCGACGGACGTGGTGCGTTTGTTCGACGCCGCGGCGGACGGCGGCTCGTGCGGCCCGCGCGCGTTCCGCGTCTTCGTCGGCGCGGTCTGCGGCGGCGACGACGTCCCGCGCACGCTCGTCGAGGTCCTCCTCGGCGGCGGACTACGGGCCTACGGCCACAGCGTCGCGGCGAAGGTCGCCTGCCTGGGTCGCGCGGCGTGCGGCCGCTACGACGCGTCAATCGCCGAAGCGTGGCGCCTGCGGCGCGCGGACGACGTCTGGCGCGCCGCGCCGACGAACTGCGCCGTGCTCTGCGCGCTGCCCGGCGCGGGCGTCGTCGTCGCCAAGGCCGCGGAGCTGTTCGCGGCCGCGCCGCTCTACGCGGACGGCGCGCTCGGGGGCTTCGACTGGACCCGGTGCGAGCGCGACCGCCGCCTCGACGCCCGCGACGGCAGGGCGCTCGGCGCCCCGGACCGGTCGCGCGCCCCGGCCGTCGCCGGCGCCCTGGCGACGCTCGCGGCCCTCGGCGCGGTCGCGCTGCTCCGCGTCCCCGTCGCGGTCGCGGTCCCGCTCTGGGCGCTCGCGACGCTGCCGAGCCAGGCGTCGCGCGCGGCGCGCGCCGTCGCCGACGCCCGCGGGTCGCCGGCCGTCGACGCGGCCCTCGACGCGCAGCACCTCCGCCGCGCCGCGCGGCTCCTCGACGGCGCGGCGGCGGAGGCGCTCCCGGCGCTCGCGGACGTCGTCTTGACGCCGCGA